CAACTATGTTTACTTGTCCGAATAATAAACTGTTATAATGTTTCGATAATGCAATGAGAAGACGTAGTTTATCAGAATTATGTGATATATTTGCAATTAAGGGTGGGTGAACATATACCAAAATGGTTGCAAAATCAGATGAATTCCAATGGTGAAATAAGACCACAGGATAGACAGACATCATCATCCATTGCGAAACATTTGATTGAGACGGGTCATAAGGTTGATATCAAATCATCATTTGTTGTGTTGTACAAAAGCCTTCAAGGACGTATACTAAGGTTTATTGAAGCCTTGGCTATACGAAAATTGAAACCCCCTTTATGTGTTCAAAAACAATTTGTACTTACACTTAACCTACCCTGGTAGTACTGATTTACTATCCAGAGTGGTAATCACATTTGTTTTTGTGTACTTTCATATTTTTCCTTTGTTATGACTTACCCTTAACCTGTCTAGTTGACCTTTTAATTTCTTAACAAGTATATGTGTGATCAGATTGTTCGAAATGTATTGCGCAAATATATCACATAATTCTGATAAACTACGTCTTCTCATTGCATTATCGAAATTTATCAAAGGGACTAATTGTTATAATGTTTTAAGGAAAAGAATCAAATGCACAACTCCGTAAATCAGTTATGTTTATTCTTTTTAACACTAAATCTTTGGTGATTTGATTAGCTGAACACTGTAGTTATTTAAAACAAGACTGATATGTCAATTGTGTGACTTCAGCTAAATGCTCATTACTACTATCTACTATTTAATGAAACGGGACGAGACTGTGATACAGGCGCAAGAAGTAAGACAAAAGCGTAGAAAGAGACTGATTTATTCACCAATCACTGATTAAATTACATGTGCCATAGTAATCATAAATTACATTTCACTTTAAAGCTGACGAGTCCCAAATAGGGCGAAACGCGCGTCCTGGGTTCCACTGCTAGCCACTATCCATCTTCGCCTATCACTTTAAATGTTTGGTCATTAAATAAATTGGAATGAATTTAACTAGCTGTTAATTAATAATTTAATGCGGGTATATAATTCGCGCAATGAATAAACAAATAGTCAATGTGTCAATTCAACCAGATCACATCTCAACAGAACTTTCATCCATATATGGTTGAATATTTTCACAATAGTCTGACACTGAATGTGTTAGAGACACTATGAGAAATCGTATTTGTAAAACTCTCACTGATTAAAATTACAAAGAACTACTGTAGTGTGTGCTATTATATCGACATAAGTAGTATATAACGCTAGTCAATAATAGAATGTCTGGCAACAGAAGGTCAAGAAGATCGAAGAGGAAAGAACGGAAACAAAAAGCAATTGGTATAAAAATGCATGAACAATGAATTCTGAGACGATTGATTGATATTTTAAAAAGGAACAGTCAAGTCTGAGACAATTGATTGACATTCTTACTGTATAGTTCTCAGATTTTACTGACATGTTCTGTAATGTATAAAAGTACAATCAATTGTCCTCACTTGTGTTCTTGTTCAATACACACCTACTATTGTGTTGACAGTTCAAATAAATAGCGTTCCCGCTCTTCCTTTCTTGATCTTCCCCCATCTTCGGCTGCCAGACATTACGTTCTTTAACTCGCGTCATATACTACTTATATCAATATAAGCAGCACACACCACAAATATAATAAGATGATTAAAATGTTTTTGTTATAATAATTAAAGGTCATAGAGGGGTAGAAATAAATAAGGTGATATGATGAGCATTTACGAATAAAAATAGCCATACGAAAATTCAAACAGTTTGTTCTTACCTTAAACCTACCCTGGTAATATTGAGTTATTATCCAGAGTGATTAGGTTTCACTTTGTGTTCACATTATTATTATTACTCTTATCATTATCCTTATCTTCTCTTACCCCGTTTCCTGTCTAGTTGACCTTTTATTTTTATATATAAACGCTCTTAACAAGTATATGTGTGACCAGATTGTTCGAAATGTATTGCGCTAATATATCACATAGTTCTGTTAATCTTCGTCTTCTAATATCATTATCGAAATTTATCAAAGGGACTAATTGTTTTAAAATAATGAGAATATAAGACATAAGTAAAAGGGGGAATGCAATAATAATAATAATAATAATAAACTTGATACCATGGGAACAAGACCGATTACAGATATTTACAAATGATTATTAATCGCTACTTGTAAACATCTTGAACATATTTTTTTCATTTTCACAAATTAAGTGCCTATAAACTTGGAATTTGCTGTAATATTTTATATTGGTGGAGTATTGTTCTCTGACTTCTATCTGAAGTTTGTGCTGATGATGTCGTTCAGAAGAACGATGAAAGCTCCACGACCAAACCATCCAGCTTAGAGAATAGAACTCCACCAAAATCATCCACCTGAGCTACAAATCTCAATATTTTATATTACTTGCTGACAATTTACTACTTCAATCAAATATATGGTTTCTTATAAAGCATGTATTATTCTTATGTTAGTCCATGTTTGGTGAATAAAAAAATTATAAGTTTTCTGTCTAACTGGAAAGAAATATATTTATTTATTCAGTCTGTAATTCAGTAGTGGTTAATTAACCATCAAAGGAAACATTCTATTTCTTTAGTTTAAAAGCAGCGAATAACTCATCTGATTTGATATGATTCATGACATTATCCATACACAGTTATATAATATACCCATGTGGGCCAGGGTAATTTTACATTGGTTTTCAGGAGAACCAGACATCATCCGGACTTTCACGTGACAACCCAAACAGTACAGCTCAACCCCGTTTAGCAGGGGAACCAGACACCGTATAGGCTTTAACGCTACAATCTGAATAGTACAGCTCAATCCTGTGGCGCAACCACACAGGTACCAAGCACCCTGGTGGACCAATTATCCATATATACGCTGTTGTAAATCCATTCCTAACAAAACTTGTCTCATTTTCTGGTTAAATACAATTTAATGAAAACAGATTATAATAAGAAGAAGAATAAAAATAACCAAATCTCGTAAATACTACATATATCTGGCGTTGTTTTAGTTTTAATTTAATGACTGGTCGAATTGGAAAGTACTTGTGATTTGCTTAGTGACAAAATATAACACTACTTTAAAGATGTGACTACTATAATTAATCCGTAGTCTATCGACTTTCGATTCCAATATATTTTATATAAAGAATTCTGCAACCATATTTTTTACTTTTTAGAATGAAATAAAATTCCGTAAAGCTTATAATAACGATTCATGATAAAGTTTTCTGTTTAACTTACGTAATCTTCACTGTAATCAGAATAGTTTAATGATTTTATGGACCTACTAGTTTTACTTAGAGTGCAGTTGAAAAAGCTTTTGTAAAAAGAGTTTGAAATGTTTCACTTTCTTCCATTACCTGATACCGTGACTCTTTGTATGTACTGAATGATTCGAATTTCAAAGAAGTACTCAAATCCAGGCTATAATACATAAGGTAGTGACTATTTTCCAACCATATATAACGGTTATGTATTAAAATAATCAGCGATAATGCAAAAGATTTAACGTTTTTTATTCTTAATAATGGTAAGCATTGTATTTGATCCTATATAGGACTTTATCAGTTGAACGTACCAGAGATCGGTTTGTAAGCAGTATGTAATCTCACGTTATTTACAAAATAAAGGGTCAGTAATCTAGTTAGAGGTCAGGTAGATATAATTTGTCATTTGTCATAACTGCCTTGACTGTGTGCTTTAAATTTCAGACGTTACAGATTCCACATATATTTCCTTTAGTTATTGTTATATCATAACCGTTATGTTTTACACACTAATGTGATTATATCGAAAGATTTTGTCAATACAAACCACCGAAGATTGTTCCATTACTATTCCGTTTGTAAAGTCTTATACAAACCGTCTCCTATTCAAACTGGTGTAGTGAACAGAACACAGGTTAGAACAACCGCATTACTTTTCTCACAAAACTACAGAGCTACTTGGTAAAATAGAAAAAGCATACTCTAATACTTAATTTGCAAAATGATCATTAATTGTCTCAAACCTCATCGTTCCTGTAATTCCACACCAATTACTTTCTATTCCCGTTCTTCCCTTCTTGATCTTCTGCTGCCAGATATATATTCCTGAATCGCATTATATACTACTTATGTCAATATAAGTAGCACAGACTGCACTAGTACCACAAATAGTAACATTATCGCCATAATGACAGGGGAGATACATCACAATAATGAAATTCATGCTTCAACACAATCTAACATCTTTAGGAAAAAACAGTTGACAAATAAACCTATTTCAGCTAAACTTTTAGAATAATTAATATGCATTATTGTGGGTAGCTGGCCTTTGGAAGATAATGTAATCTTTCTAAAAACTTGGGACAGATCACTTCACACAGGACCATAGTTCAGTGGTGCATTTATTTATTAGATAGGTGACATGATAAAATAATCATTGAATACATAGAGACAATTGATTACTCACATTACGAACACATCAGCAATTATACTTGTGTAAGTCACTGCTTCAATCGTTGCTTGCTAACATATTTGACCTACATTACATGTCAATCTGTTTTCAGGTATCAAAAAAGAAATCAAATTTGTTGATTGTCCTCACAACTGAATAAGTGACCAATCGAATCATCCATTAAATTTCCATCCCTCTTCCTTAGTCTAATCTCCAAGTAACATTCCTTTAAACGAGCACTAATCAATCAATACTTATTAATGTTTTCTGCTTGTTCTCTTTTATCCAAACAACTGTGATTGTTTCTTGAATAAACTATTCCTTAAAATAATAACCAAGATCTAGGAAATGGATAGACTGTGAAGAACAAAGTTGATCTTGTTTAAACTATATCTCTAAAATTCATTTGTCTTGATATCTTGTTGACCTAACTGATATTACAAGGTTAAGTAGTTTAGAAAGTGGTATAAAATTTTCTTTTGACGTAAAATATCTTCATCTTACTTTATCAATCTTTACAGAATCATTAACAACATCAACAAGGCATTTCGATGGCCAATATTGATATGACCTGGCCAACAACAATAGTTACTTTATCTGGTGAAAAAACAGTGTTTGGTCAACGTAGTAATAGTATAACAGAGAAATCATCTAATGACAATATACAAAAAACAATCAATTCATCTATTCAACATGATATTGAAAACTTAAACTTAAATCATTTGAATGAAGATGAACGTCAAAAGGTTTTATGTGTAGTAAAAAAAGACTTTGAAGTACGTGCTAAAGAACGAGAAAGATTGAAGTAAGCATTTATTTAATAATTCTTTATCTCTTATTATTTGTCATTTACTAACAATATACGAATCGATAATAATTACGAACTGATCCATGACTTGACGCAACAAAGTATCAGAGAGTGTAAGCAGTAGGGATTATCATAATATGAATATTAAATGAGTCAAACTGATAAAATCAACAATAAGGTGTAATCACAATTGATTGATCACTGGATGGTGATCACTGTCATTTGTGTCAAGTCCTTTCTAGTGCACCAGTTGCCTTAGGATTACAAGTACACCTTGTTGACGAGTGCCAAGTAGCACGAAACCCGGGTCCAGGGTTTCCTGTTGACTGCCTTCAACCATCATCTTATCTCAATAATAAGGTGTAAATAATCAAAATAAATAAACAAAATCGATTTAAAATTTTCATAGAATAATTGAATTTTCAAGATTTCAAAAAAGGCTTTCATTAAAATCACAAACCGATCTAAGTTAAGCAATGATTGAAAGTTTAGAAGCATTGGATGGCGGTTCATCCTTGTATGGAACTCCTTAATAGTGCATATTCACGACTCTGAGGTCAAGAATTGAACTCAAAACCTTCGATCTTGTTAGCAAATGCCTGAATTAGAATTCATAGTATACATGTCTAACTCCAACCAATTCACGATACTGCACAACCCTCTTCCATTGTCTTTTATGGTTGTCTAATGTAAATTGGCTAGCAACATGAATAAGACTCAACAATTTCCCCAACCCCTTACTGACAATTAACAATTTTATCACGAATTCACATGCTATAACCTTTAACGATGTATTTTGCATAAAAACTTGGTCACATTTTGGATTATTAATTTACTTACACCATTGTAGAACTTAAAGAGAATTTAATGAGAAGAATATTCTCCATTCATATATGTGTTCTAATTTTCAAACTGTTAATAGTTTGACAAAATGCATCTTCGTGTGCATTTTATGAGCTACCATCATCTGTAGTAAATTGAAAGTAGGATCACATTTCTTTATAAATAAAAGCCGCTTATGTATATTGTGAACTAAAATTATCCATACCGATTCTCAGTAACAATTATCAATGAATTTAAATAATTGATAACCATTAGTACTTTAATAGTAATTGCAAAACTGAAATATGCCACTTTTGACCTTCAAATGACGCCAATGTTTAGTCAATCAGAATATAAATGATACATTTTATTATGTAACGTCGCTGAAATGTTTAGAGATAGAATTAGAAATTCGATTTAGGATTTAGGGTTATGAATTTAAGTTAGAATTAAGAGTTAGAAGCTAAGAGTAATAATTCACTTGATATTATTTTACTTGAATCTTCCCATTGATGTTTTTGGACTGAAATTGACCAGCTAAGTGGATAACGCGATGGCGTTTGAAGCGAACGGTACTGAGTTCGAGTCCCAGAGTGAACATCAACTCTGAGATGCAGGTACATCCAGCTGACGAGTCCCAAACAGGACGAAACGCGCGTCCTGGATTCCACTGCTAGCCACTATCCATCTTTGCCTAAGAGTAATAGTTAAGAATAGAGTAGAATAATGCTTCATAGCCATATGCATATATACTTATGGAAATGATTCTTTGATTTTAAACAAGAACCACAAAGTTAACTTTAGAAAATTGATAAATTATGGTCTACATTCTTTAGTTTTCAAATGTTTATCAGTTTGTGTGGTCTTATTAACCATTTTTGTTAGGTTTTAATCAAATCCTAATAAGACATAAGTTGTTGCTTTGAATTTCACACAAAAATCCAATAACCACTATCTTAGATCTGATTAGTTCGTCAGTAAAGTTTACCTTCGTTATCGTGACATTTACTCTGGCAGAGTGTAATACAGAGTAAATTTACAATACTGATAGGATCATGTAGATTTACTGACACTTTATGATGATTTATTGGAAATAGTCGGAACGTCCGGGTATCTAGTGATTTGTGTTAGCCAGGTGTGATTGTGTAACAAGTTATATAGAACTGATTACTTCAAAAGCTAGAGCTGCGCTAGTCTGGTTGTAAAAACCCTATTAATATAAAAAAACCTTCTCTATATTGGTAAAATTTACACTCTTTAGGCTGAGTATCTTCATTGTGTCCCTGTGTACAACAGCGAATTGATATTCGAAAGACCAGAGAAAAGAAGATATTATTATCATTTTAAATCAATGCATTTGGTACATTTGCAACATTCCATTCTTTTTGCTTAAATTACTTCCAGACAATGAATTAAATACTGATACAAAAACATGATGAGTAAAGAAGATAAATAATCACTTTGTGACATCGTACCTTGAATTAATAGGCACTTGTATAGTATTAGCTACTGCCAAAGTACTTGACTTCAAGCAGTCGTAGGCTCAAACATCAGTGCAGGTACTTAAATATTTGTCTCGTATAATGACGTGACACAATGCCTCATTTCTGTAAGGTGCTTATTTCTTAACAAACTCTTATTCTTTGAAGATCCGACATCTATAAAAATCTATTTGAAAACGGCACCAGCCTAACAGATCTACAAAGATTTATAAAATGACATGATCATGGTACTAAGAATTGCAATTAATACTCCTTTTCTTGATGTTCCTTTTACTGGTCTAATAATATGTTTTCCATTGGGCTTTGGAATCGCATTTTGATTGACAGGAGAGGGGTATGGATGACAAAATTAAAGAGTTAAATCGAACAAATTTACCATACATATCATGATGCTCTCGTTAAACAATTTATAAACTGATGACTTAACTTTCAGAATTACATTATGTTTACCTTACAAATTATTACCAACTATCAGATGGATAGTCTATCTCAGATACATCAACCTAAACTCGGTAAATTTATAATATTGACTGTTTATTGATTATAGAACATTATAAAAAGTTCTTAATTTTACTACATTTCTATTTCATTAATTTCTTTTATATACCTTTTTATAAAATATATTAACTTAGCCGATTTCGTTCAAGTATTTTAAGACGAGATAGAGAATTGGCTGTTAAAAGTTTAACATCAACTACTGAAAGTACATCTTGTTTATTATGTGGACGTGCATTTATACCTTTGATTAATCCTAAACATATATGTTTCAATTGTCAACGTGAAATTTGCCGAAATTGTTCAGAATCTATGAATAAATACGATGAATTCTTATGTAGAATGTGTTTAAAAGAGAAGTAAGTTACATTTTTTAAAGTAGTCTAGTATATATATATTTTTTTCTGATGATAATGACAGATATTGTCGGTCAGTCAGCTACGATGTAGGACCAGGCACATATATGCATATATGTTGATTAACTGTGAGATTGCTAAAAAAAGGAAATACCTAGACAACATTTTATGGTTTATTTATCCTAGTTTAAAAACGATTCTCTTTTTTAGTAGTCAATTTTATGATAATCAATAACATTCAACTAATGTGATAAAAAAAGACCAGTTGTATGTTACTTACTTACCTACGCCTGTTATTCCTCGTGGAGGAGCATAGGTTGCCTACCAGCACTCTCCATCCAAACCCTGTCTTTGGCAATCTCTCCCAGCTCTTTCCAGTTGCTATTCATCCTTTTCATATCTGCTTCCATTTCCCGACGTAATGTGTTCTACGGCCTTCCTTTTTTCCGCTTCCCTTCAGGATTCCAAGTTAAGGCTTGCCTCGTGATGCAGTTTGATGATTTCCCTAATGTATGTCCTATCTACTTCCAACGTCGTTTCCTAATTTTCCCTTCAGCTGGAAGGTGGTTTGTTCTCTCCCACAGAATGCTGTTGCTGATGATATCCGGCCAACTGATGTTGAGTATCTTGCGTAGACACCTATTTATAAATACTTGTACCTTCTTGATGATGGTTGTTGTAGTTCTCCAAGTTTCAGCTCCCTACAGAGAACTGTTTTGATGTTCGTATTGAAGATTCTGACAGTGATATTAGTTGAAAGTTGTTTCGAGTTCCATATGTTCTTCAATTGTAAGAATGCAGCCCTTGCTTTGCCACCTTAACGCTAACCAGTTGTATATAACTGTACCATAATATCATTCAGTATGTTTGACAATTGAAAATATTAGTACCCCTTTATTATGACGTTATCAACTAGAGTCACATTAGAACACACACAAAAACCAAATGCATTACAATAACCATATTAAAGTTATGCGAAACTTAAGAAATGTCGAAATCTTTTCAGTTTTTAAGAAATTTAGTTAATGAACAAAGAATATTTGTCAAACGAGCATTGAAAAACTCAAACTTACTGTCTAAACTAAATAATTTTACTCTAGTTGGATAACTGAAGATGTCAAAGAACTTCTGTTTTAACGATGATATCAGTATAGCAACTTTTCAATAAAAATTAATTCAGCTCCTAAATATAAAAATCCATCACTTGGTTGATTAATCTAACTGAATACCTAATTTGAAAAGTTACAAACATTCTCATATTGTTCATCATTATTTTTATACTGGTAATGTTTTGATGGAACTTTGCACGTGCAACTGTATTTTGGACTTTGATTTCCACAAGGCTTATGAGTATTTCGAAGATGATAGACTACCAAACTGACTCTCGACCCATGATCACTTTCAATGCGCTGGACTAACAGACATGGTTACTATCATCACCATCACAGTCCAAAGAACAGAAGGAAATGACGTTTAGCATGGAATTTGAAAACTTCTTAAAAAGTATTAAGTCTACTATAAAAGTAAGAACCCTCAATCATTCATCATCTCAACAATGTACTAGATATTAAGTCGCTTAGACTAGTGGTCACCTTGGAACTTGACTGAGAGAATTCAGTCAGCAATTAAAAAGACAATGATCAATACTCAACAACTAATCAATTATAAAAAACGGTTTTTATTATTCAATGATGCTTGGAACCTTTTTCAAATGGTTACTATGTAATTTTGGAATATGCACTAAAATTTACCTGCTTCATAATATTGGTAAAAATTCGTTTTTATGAGCCAACTTGAATTCATTCGTTTTTAATTAAACCGTATTTAAAAGTGAGTAATTATTTCACATATTTTTTAAAATGTTTTTTGTCCAGTAGTTAAAGTTTACAAATTCTTCTAGCAACAATTTTTCTTTCATTTTAACCGGTTTCATAACTAAATTTGGCTAGTTACCAAGACGTTGCAACGGCGATTTCATGCACTTATGTCCATAAAACTTCAAACCCTGTTTAGCCACTAACATAAACACACTAAATGTAATCTATTCATTGTCAGGTTGATGAGGTTCAGCTATTAAGATGTTTTCGTTTTAATCTGTTAGGAAATGTCTTCTTGATGTGTGCTCAGAAGGAACATTTATAGTCAGATATATAAAAATACACCATAGAAGCAACATGTTCATAAAGACATTAATTTAGAACTATACATTGTCATTTAAATTTGTTGTATAACACATATTAATGAGATTATGGTTAAAACAGTGTATCTAAGTTTTAGACAATAAGCAACAACTAATTTCTATCATGATATTCCTGTTCCTCCTAGACAATCAGTATATCAGCATAATTTCTTTGAATTTTCATTAACTCTGTAAATAATATACTTGATTAAAACCTGGAAATCTGTGTTAAATAAATAATCACATCATACTTTTGGGGGGTGAAGATTATTCTTTTTTCTCCTTGCTTGATGAAAAGCAGTCTCAATAATCTGATCACATGAGTGATTCCTTGAAATGAACATTTACTGTTAGTTGAGAAAGAGAACAACCGGGCCAAATTGTTTCAATCAGTAGTTAGGTAACAAGCTCATTTATAAGTATTCATTGCCTGTAACCTAGAAACAGGTCAATAATAAATATCAAACAACGATTCGAAGAAAAGGTGCTTTCAAAGATTTATTTAAATCGAATTTAGTTTTTTTGTCACTGGTTGGAAAACTATTGATTCGCTCATATATAAGTGAATAAAGCTTAAACTTTAACTCTTCAAGTTAGTCTACTTTTACTGATTTTTACAGTCTAAAAATCAAACATTAGTCAATGGATAAATGCTCATAATTCAAAGAATAAGGTGAGTTGCTAGTTACGAACTAACAATGGCTGAATAACATCATAGCTTATTGCCAATCAAGTTGACATTATTCTTACAAAATATACAAATATTATTCCCACTCCCTGTAAATGTCATTCTTCTTCGATGTGATCCATTGAGAAAGGAGATGACAAAAGTGAATAAACTTAAGTGATTTGTTTATAACTACGACAATAGATCAGCTAAAAATTATACCATCTTTGCATTGATAACAGAATTATTTCAATGTTTATTAATTATTACTACATACTAATTCTGTATTATCCTCCTTTAACTCGGGTCTAAGTAACCTAATCCATTATTTAACTTACAGGGACTAAAAACAGTTACTAACCCAATTTATTTTCATTGTTCAATATGGTTTTTCTACTGACTTTACATAAGTGAATAATTTCTACTTTTATCATATTCAGAAATTATCGTGCAATGACATGTAATTGGTTTTACGAGACAGTAATTCAACGATTCAGAGAATTCGGAAGTACAACTGTTGCTAAAAGTTTATTTGGATCAACGTACAAACGTAAGTTTAGTATAATATTTAGTAGAAAAAGTTTGATTCAAAGCTTTCTCAGTATTACTATTTTTCGAAAATATCACAATCATTATTGCTTCAAAACATTTCCAGCTAAGATGTTTACCATATATATTACGTCACTGCCTACCACGAGCCTCTAAGCTTGTCAAAATAGTAGGACGTTGAAAAAGAGCTAGAATAGGCTTAACCAAGACATTGGATCATTCGACTAAATCACTGATTGTTGACCTACATAGCTCCAGATGGTGCACAATGACTCTGGTTGAAAACCTTAGAAAAAAGGATTATTATGTGAATCTAGTCAATAGCACTATTGAACAAAAGGAAGTTAAAACATTCAGACAGAATTTTCTTCCATTTAGTTTCCTATTTTTATTAATGAATAATTAAAAAGGCCAATTACACTTTACTATTTACTGAAAGTAATGACTTCATCAATAGTTACCTGGAATATTGACAACTGGATAATGTAGGTAGAGTTTTTTTGATCAGATCAACTTTGGGAAAGATTTCCATATGTTAACCGCGTAAAGTGTTTGACTGATTCACCAATTACATCAAATGAGGACCATTGAAGTCGTAAATATTTACTAATGAGTTATTTACGTGACTTGAAATCGGAAGATTAGAGTTTAAAATTTGTGATTAATATGCACTGTAGATGGAATCACAAGCTAAGATAAAGTAGTGGTCCAGTCCCCCTTTCTTTTCATTGATTGTTTTAAAAGTTGACTTCAGTATGTAATGGAAATTAGCTACAAACGATGTGGCTTCTTTGTTAAAAATTATAAGTTCCTTTAAAATTCTCTGCAATCTTCATAATGTATTGATGAATAATACAAAAATTCAAAGTGTAAAGTTATAATACCACCATTGAGAGATTTAAAGGTAAAAAAACTGAATATGTTCGTATCTCTAGAATTACCCAATAGGGTAGAGCGTCATTTTCTCTTTAAGTTGTTCCATTCACATTTTATTTCACTACTTTTACATTGTAATTTTAGGGATGATTGAAAATGTATTTAGAAATAATTCATTTTATCGACTAATATTCCTTCTGATGTAATCTTCTTACATTCCTGCCACTCAATATGATATAAAACATTCAGAGTGAGAGTCATCATATTCGTTGTAGATGCATGCTAGTCGATATTCTCTTCTTCCCATTATTGTATCAATCTGTCCAGTTATATCGGTTATTTGATATGTAGAACCAGCTAAGAAAGGATCATAAACAAGCATACAGTAGTACAATAGTTGAAATCAGGATTACCGTCAACTGGTTCTCATCACTCACAAAATTAGAGATTATCAAATGATTATTATTAAATGAATTCTTTCATGTACAAACGATCAAGCTTTAATTAGTTTTTAATTTAATTAATTTGTAATAATGAACTGAATACTTACAATAAGTAAATATTATTATAGTTCTGAACAATACTATTATTACATATAGAGAGGAATGTTTTTATGGAGTATGTTCACTGTAATATGTAGATATTTCAAAAATCTTCCTAATCAAATTATTGTCCATTCTTCTCTGGTTACAAAACTCATCATAAATGAACATAAGGGATTTGAAACGTTATCCATTGAAATGTTTTTGATTGACATCATGGACCGATTGATGTTAAACCGCCATTGAAAACCTGGAAGAACTGGATGGCCGTTCCGTCCTATTGTGGGATTTCTCAACAGTGTGCATCCACGATCCCGCTCTCAGGGTTTCGAGCACAGGGCCTTCGGTCTTGTGCACGAACGCTTAACCTCTAGACTACAGAGTCGGCATTAGGCGGTGTTAATGTCTAATCTCAACCAGTCCGCGAAATCGCGCGACCATATTCCATTGTCTGAGGTAGATACCTGTCTCTACCCGACACGGATTAGCTCCACTGGTCACGTCTTCTCACTAGCACTCCGAGAATTCGAATCCCACATCGGGGTCGTGGATGAACACTGCCGAGAAGTGCCACAATAGGACGAAACGGCCATCCAATGCTCCCAGGTTTTCAATGGTGATCTAACATCAATCGGCTCATAATCTCAATCAAAAACTTAATAATCTCCACAATCCTATACTGACCATTAAAATATGTTTGTCATGTGAATAAATAATAATCATTTTTATCATGAATATTATGCTAAATATTTATGATAATTATAAAATTAATTAAATTCGATAATTACTTCCGATTGATTTCTTTATATAATGATTTTATTAATTTTATTTTTGTGAAAACATAATGAATACCGATACTTATTGTTCTGTTTTGCTCATTTTGGCTAATGATGTTTGGAATAATAAGTGATTAGAGGATATCAACAAAATCCCTGAAATTATATTTCGTGCTAGTTACCTTTTGTTAGTAAGACTTACATGCAGTTTTGAGTGAACCGTCGCTCTCTTTCTCTTTCTCTCTCTCTCTCTCTCTGGAATCTAAAACTGTGTCTCCCAGTTTAACATTGTGAGACTTTACTGTTGTATTTTAATTGCTGAGACTGACGACTTACATGAAAAAAATATTTAAACTGATTGGTTGCTAAGCAGGCTTGTTTTTCTGGTCCTTATAAATAAATGAATTCCATTGATAATTATGCAATTTTACCACCAGTTTAAATAATCTGACATTCACTAAACTATGTTTCCTTATCAGATAGTTAGCATAATCTACTGTCACGAAAGAAAGGAAATCTTTTTTGGTTCAAGTTAAGCTTCAGATATCGATCAAATTAACACTAGTTTTATGTAGATATAACTTGCTTGCAAGTAGTGTAAACAGAAAGTGTATTTAATATAATGTTGTATCATGATTAGAAATTATTCTAATAAAGCCAAAAGCGTTGATTTTTAACGATACTGGTTTCGTAGACATTACCGTAAATGAGAAACAAATCAATACATAAAAATGCTTATTAATGTATAGGGTTATATTAATTTGTCAATTTTGAGTTTCATATCACAGACTAACGTTATTTAGACAACTAGTGAAAACTAGAAAACAATTGATTGCCATTTTGTATTGAACTCCTTGACATTTCACATCCATGAACTCACCATAGATTGAACCCAGAATCTTAAGGCCTCTCAATGAGCACATAACTTTGAAACCACTGAATTTACAGACCATGATAACACTTCTAAATTTAATCGATTTGTAAGATTGACTAACCATCGTCTAATGTTATTCATCAGCATTAGTCTCACACTTGACACAGATGAACTTCAATGATGACAGCTTTTAACTAGAACTCTGATAAACACTTTTCTAAATTAATTATTAGTGCGCACATATTTATCCTCGGTATATGAGGTTATAGGAGTTAATTAATTTATAGTGCTTTTCAGTTCTTAATGGTCACCAAATTAAAGTCATCCCATCATTTAAAACTATGAAATACTTGTTTATTAATATGTTTGATAACAATCAATTACTAGTCGGTTGAATTAATTATTGATTTGTATATTTTAGAAGTTCAAAATATGGCTGAAGAAGAACTTTGGAATCTTTTATTTCGATCTTCATCATCCAAAAGAAACTCTATCGAATCGAGTATGTGTTTTATGTATAATTGTTCTTGTGTGTATATTCAAAATGATAAATTATTCAATCTTTTTATTTATTGTTTAAGTTTACAGGTATATTTTCGTTTCAGTTATTATTTTAAATCATCGGTTCAGTCAGTCAGTAACAACGTAGAACTTCGTACGTACCTACATCAGTTCGAGTTGCCATACCACATTAGCAGACAAATACAATTATCCATTCAAATCCCATAGTGGTAGAGGTAGTAAAAGTATAAGTAATATTAGGAAACATTAGGGTTTGAAAATGTTATTCAATGAGTATAATCGAGTGAAATAAATTTGAAAAGAGAAAAAAGAAAGGGACATGAAGAATTCAGAAGAGTAGAATTTGGGAGAACATAAAGAGTGGATGCACCCGCGTCATTGTAAACGATTTTGAGCCATGTCACCCAAGGTTTCTAACTATCGGTTGCTATCATCTGGCCGATCCCAACCAGGTAGTCTACACCTAACAACATAACTCAGTCCACTTGTCAGTAACTTCACGGATCTGTGCCATATTTTGGTTTGGCCGTCCCTAGCTTTCTTCCAACCTACTCCTACAGGATGAAACATCGTTCGTCGAGGCAATCGGTGGTTATGCATACGTAACACGTGTCTCAGCCATCTCAACTGATGAAGTTTCACTACTTCATTAATTGATTTGCCATCCTTACCTAGTACCCGATTCCTAACAACTGTATTACTCGGTGGTCACAGGATATACGAGCGATGTTTCGAAGACAGCTATGATCAAATACTAGTAACCTACGAATATCCTCTAATCTTACCAATCATCGGTTAAATATTTTAGTGTCAAAAATGAAATGAATTACAACAGTTAAACTGGATTTTCCTATCACAAATGAATGAACTTCATCACACCACTAGTCATCTAAGTTTGTAGCATTAAAATAAGTTGTAAATTAGATGATGAGACTGATGTAGAATTATATATGGAATGCTTCCTGCGTGACAATGAAAGTTTCTTAGTCAAACTATCTAGATTGGAGAAAACAACACCACTAAAAGAGTATACTTGAACTGTATATGTTATTCATTCTTTTAATCACAATAAATGTTCCTACTTTAGACTTAATATGGAATATATGGAATGTGGCTAGCAATAGAATCCGGTACTAAGTTCGAATCCCAGAGTGATGAGTCCCAAATAAAACAAAACTCGCGTCTTCCATTTCACTACTTGCCATATTGCATCTATTCTATATACTACATAAAGACAATCTACACACAGGATGCATACATATATCAACAACGAGATAATCCAAACCAATTTACACTTGTCTTAATGAAATATCTATGCAATTATGTTATAAATTACATTCATATGTTATCATAATAACCCTATACAACTATTAAAATGCTAAATCCAATAAGATATAATGAAGAAGACACAAAAATGTTTTTTTTTAAAAAAAAGAACACTTTCCCTGACATCTTTTTCTTTTGAAAATCAATGTGACATGAATAGATTAGGATCCATGCATTAAACATTATAATTAGTATTTGAAGACAAGAAAAAAACTAGTTAAAACCTTTTACAATTGAAAGTAAATGACAAACACAAATACTGTCGGTATACACAATGAACACATTGTTTTTCTTGGTGACTGTCAATGCAATCTTTTCTAGAATGGAATTTTTTTTATAATTTTGCATATTTTATCCTAAAAAAAAAAAGAAAAAAAAACTTTTTTCTATCTGTAATCAACCATATGCTACTGAATATTGCGTTTAGTGTTAGTAACAGTCGCCAACCAATGATGAATCAGTTTTTTAATAAGCATAAATAAACTATTTAAGATTATCTTGTCAGTTCTCAGTATAATCAAAGAAAACTATGATCATTAGAAGTATTTGAATTATAATACAAACTAGGAATCTCAGAAATAATGCAATCGGATCAAGAAGTACTAGGATTCGAAATCAAACATTCAACAAGTATAAAAGAATCATTAGTTCATACAAACACCACATCCGTCATAGCTTAAATTGGAGTCTCAGTTTCTGTAATGGATTTACGTCTACTCCTTATGTTCATCCTGTGCCTGTTCGACAGTGTATTGGATGTAGACTCTATATGATCTAGGATGTATTAATTAGTATTAGGACCAAAAACTGCAATTGGAACGGAATCACCATATCGGTTGTGTACTGAAACCACTAATATTTAGAATTTGAACCATAGATTTTCCAACATTATCCTCCCCCAAGAAATAATGTTGGATCTTCATATCCCCAAGTTATGAATGATTTGGCTTCATTTAAAACATATTTCTCACATTGATCAGAGTATACATTAGAAGTAACTTCATGATAAAGATAAATAACAGTTGATATGGAATCATCCGAATTTTGATCAAAATCGAGCTCATTTAGAATTCGTGCTTCGCATTGAACAAGTTTCCCACAAGAAGCAAATGCATTATGAATATATGATAATAATATATGATATGACATCAGGATTTGATTCTTCTGAAATATTTTCCTCAAACTTACTAAGAATGTCATTGCAGCGTGATGGATCGTTAGAAAAATCAACATCTACCAAAACTACATCAAGTTTTCGGTCATGATTTGATTCACTCAACATATTTTCCTCCGATTCATAAGAAATTTCATCAGAAATATATGAATCATTAGAACAAACCATACCTGGTACAATAACATGAGAAATCTGATAAGAAGTTGGTTGATTAGAAACTTCTGTCTCACAATGATTTTCAGTTTCAGTCAGTTCTGGTCTGCTATGTGACTCTATGCCGCTTTTCGAAGTCGTGGATAAATATAAATGATCGTTAGAATCACCCAACTTGATAGGATCACAATAACAAATTTTAGCATTAGTTGCGGCGGAATGAACCGTAGTTTAACAAACTGACTGAATATGTCCAATCTCACCGCATTTAAAATTAAGAAATGCACATAAATTAAATGAGCGAAATCCACCACAGGACGAACATTGACCAAACTTATGCCCATTTTCGTGAACTGCATTGCAACTCCTCAATGAATTGTCTGCATAACGTTGAGTGCACACTTGATTGGGATATCCTGATGAATCATTTTACGAATTCTTCCTCCTTTACTGCATTCGAAAATTGTATACTTAACAAAGTCTAGCAGTAGTTCCTTGAGAATTGCATAAGGAAGTGAAATAGGCTTTTCTGGTAGAGCTGTAAGCTTCATTGCCGATTAATGTGAGGAAATGTGCTACAATATTAACATCCTCATCATCTTCCTTGGTCATAGCCCAGATTTCGAAACTTTCCAAGTAATCCTCAAAAGCATCAAAATCCGAATGTATGTCCAATCATTCCATCACAGGTTCCATCGCGACTCCAATGTGATAATTAAGGAGTATTTGAATTATAATACAAACTGGGAATCTCAGAAATAACGCAATTGGATCATGAAGCACCAGATAACCACGAATGAATGTATTGTATTTGGAATTCGAAATCAAACATTCAACAAGTACAAAAGAACCATTAGTTCATACAAACACCACAAAATACTACTTGATCTACTTTTTTTCTACTGTTTTTCATAAATACAATGCTTATCATAACAACATATTCATATATCATTTCATATTAAACATTTTAGAAGAATCAGACAAGTTTTATTCAGCAGATCAAGCTAGAGAAGCACAAATTAAAAATTAAGAAATCGATTAGAAAAATTAATGGAAGAAACTTTATCTGAATTAAATGCTGTTGAAAAAAATGATTCATTATCACCAAGACAAATCACTTGGCAACGTAAGTTATTAATGCTAATAGTGTACTTTAATTTGCTTTGTTGAAAGTTAACAGTTACATAAAAAAAAGAGAATACTGTTGGATAAAATGATGAGTCTTATCTATTGTTTATAAGCATTGGATTGTAATAAATTTGAAATTTGTCAAATTACCAGTTCAGTAACCTTTTTCAGTTGTTATCAATCAGAATAAATTTTAGCGTGTTTAAATCTTTTTTTTTGTACAGAAGTTAAACGTGTAATGACATGAGTCTTCTCTCAAGATACGACTATTCATTTCATTCATTTTCTAAATCATTTGAAATGGCTGATAAATTTATACAATAAACATCTAGGTAGAAAGTAATATTTTCTAAGCAAAGGCTATTGTATAACTGGTTTTGTACCACAGTTGATAACTACAGTTGAGATCATTTCAAATCTTTAGAAAGAGTCGTAACTCAATAATAATTATATCTATGTTGGTGAATTTCTTAGAGATAGATTGAACAGTTATATAGTGCGATTCAATACTCTGTGAGGTGAAGTACACTTAGTAATTGACTCAGAACTGCAATAATCAAGGACAGCATTGTATCATCAAAACTGAATGACATTGAAAAGTTTGGCAACTAGATTTCTATTCAGTTGCTTGATGAGTTTGTGTTCACGACGAGACTTTTGTTTTAGTGTTTTTCATAATGCATAAGTGAAAATCATAACCCATAGACCGATGGTGATTAAGATTAAAGCTGATCAGTGAACTTGTGAGTAGATTTTCTGTATAAATCATGATGAAAACATAACTCATATGTTACTGGTGTATATTTCAATATAATTTAATAAAAACTGAAACTTTTGATCATAGCATAATATGCAGTAGCTATAAACAGTTTAATATTAGTATTAGAAGGGGTTTTCTGGATAATATAGTAATTTCGATAGTTGTGATCATGAGTCGATTGAAGCTAGATTACCATGGAATACCTAGAAGCAACGGACGGTCGTTTCGTCCTATTTTGGGACTCCTCAGCAGTGCGCATCCACGATCCCGCCTCACAAGTTTCGAACATAGGACCTATCGGTCTCGCGAGCGAATGACTAACCTCTAGACCACTGAGCTGGAATCTAACGGTGTTAATATCTAACTTCAACTAATACATGAAATTGAGTTAATAAAAGGCCTACAAATCACTAAAATTTCAACTTCAGTCAGTTCCTTACAATAAGTAATTTTCAACAAATTCTTTGGTTTCAGGATTGAAAATATAATTTACAGTCCATTTGTTCCTGATTTGACAACTAGTAGGACTGGTTACTATGCTAAGCCTATATAACTTACTCTAGCTTCTGGACAGGCCAATTTATCGATTCTTCCTGAGTCACGTTTCGACCTTGTTAATTACTCATTTATCAACCTTGACTGTTTTTATATGAGCGTATGTGTGTTCATTTCCTATCTCAATAATCACATGTCTATAACTTAATTTTGTCTAAATATAAATGTTGATCCACGCTTGATTAAACTGAGTTGGCTTACACCCCTTCTCCACTGCGCGTCACTTCGTTCCACTCTCTGCTCTTCGTTTTCTTCACTTCGTTTCTTCGATCGTTTGTCTTGATTAACAATTGTGCGAAATATACATATTCAATCATTCATTCTCGTATTTGACTTATTTGATTCCGTTATTTACTAACACGAGTTAAGTCAATAATTATATACGAGGATTGGCGATATGTATATCTCAATAGCAATCAAAAGCGATCAAAATGGATTCAAATATATGGCCACTAAAAACGGATTCATTCAATCCATTTCAGTTAGTAAACACATTCCATATGAATAACTCAACAAAATATATACAGTTCCAACAAATTACTGAGGAGTCCCACAGTAGGACGAAACGGTCATCCAGTGTTTTCAATTTCCCATGGTGATCTAGTTTCAGTTAACTCATTAAACTGTAGAATATAACATTTTCGTCTGTTCAATATATTGTATTCATTATATATGTCTTCATTTCAAAATTAAGACAGTAGTTTTTTAATAAATAAAAAAATAACAAATTCAAAAGTGATTGCTTTCTCTTTTTCTCCCTTGAGCAATTTGATTGACATTCCACCTACTGTTTTTTTTAATACTTTTGAAGTGATTATTTCACCTTATTACTGTCATCTTGACTTTTTATCCCCCGTCATTAAGTAAAATGATTGACAAGTAACTGAAGACTGGGGGATTTTTTTTGTTTTCTAAACCGAAAACATGAATAAACAAATTTTCAAATGATTAGAAATTTTTTTAATATTTGAAAATGAAAGAAAAATATAAAAAATAGAGCAAATCAAATTATGTTGTCAAGTATAATAATAATAATCATAGTAACAACTTGGATTGAGTATTAGTAATGGTAAGGATTTCAGTCATCTATTTGAAGAGTTAATAGGTTATTAAAGACTGATCAGATTCACTCTTGAAAACATTGATTAATGAGAATATACAAGTTCTGAAAATTGATAATGTGTGGCAACTATTCTACAATCACTTGGTATTGTTTGGCTTATATCTTCCCATTGAGGTTTAAGACTGCAATTGATCAACTCTGAGATGCAGGTACATCCAGCTGACGAGTCCCAATTAGGACGAAACGCGAGTCCTGGATTCCAATGGTAGCCATTATCCATCATTGCTTAGAAAATATCCTACAACCAATTTCGATTATGGTTAATTTTGGTTAACTTGCTTAACAGACAATGTTATTTGGGCAGTAACAATCCGTCTATTTATTTTTACTGTTATGATCACAAGATCACATGATAGACACTAGCTAAAATGTTGATCGCTTAAATATCACTCGATGATTCATTCTCCTCCCCATGTATATATGTACTCAAATCCTGTTTTTGCCCTTATACAATTTCACTATGAATTTGCCCGTATATACTTATTCGCCTCTCTGCTTCAGATTTGTTTGATGTGTTTTGTAATCTGCGCTAACCACTAATAAACTGTAGTCGCCGCTTCTCATTGCCTTCTGATTTTAAACACTGTTGAGATTTGTTTTATAACGGTTGCCGAGGTGACTGAATAACGAAACAAAGCCATTACAAATGATATATCGTGTAGTAAATATTATTACTCAATAGGATAGCAGAGATCCACTTAGCTTTTACAGTATATCAGTAAAGGATCCTAGTATAAATACAAAATATTCTACAAGAATATTATACGAATATTCACTAGAAACTTTTGTTTCTGTGTTAAACATTATCAGAATACTATCTGGTATAATATGTACTCGGGATACTCATCTTTAACCCTGAGGTATAAATTCTAATATCCATATTTTTCACTTATAATAGCTCATTTCTACTAGATCAGTTTTATGAGCTACATTTAAACCAAATCCTTAAAAATATAAATTTAAGAATGACCAAAGTTTATCAGTTAACAAGCAATAGAAGACTCTACTATCATCAGTTATACAATGAAGAAACTTTTAAATAATATTTTAGTTGCTAAGCTTCCCTAACAGCATTTACTTTGTTATTATTATTATTATTATTATTATTATTATTATTAGTTACTATACTTCTGTATTAAACAGAACGTTGTATTAATCATAAAACCCTACCCTGTAACTAATCACTCTTCTTATTAATACCTCTAGACAAAGTATTATGTAATATACTAAGTTTGTAGCAATATACACTCATTTGATCATCTTTTCTTGAAATATAAAACTCTTTAAAAGTCTGATATTATTTATGATTACTTAGATGCAGCTTTCATTACAGTAGTGCTGTTTTGTTCCCGTTGATACTCCTGAGAGTTACACGAAACCATAAATACTGTATGATACTAAGACCCACAATAAATTTCCACTGTAGCTAACGAAATATAAAAATAATATCCTCAGGTTATTCACACACATTCTACTCTGTTAGAGTTTATTTAACTTCTGACAGTTTTTATGACTTTGTACACCAATATTGTTTGTTATTTAACATTGAATAAGATTATAAGAGAGAAGTAATTGTTTCCATTTTTCCTTAAGATGAAAGCGTGGGCATGAAGTTTAAAAAGAACGCCTGTCGTGAAATGAGAAATTTCATTCAAATTCTCTACATAACAACTGAAAGTAAGTGGAAGTTTTTAAATGTTCTCACAATTATATAACTATCTAGATCATAACTATGCAATAAATTGGTGCAAAACATTCCTGACAGTTTTATCATATATTGAATTGTTAAAACATTTATAGATAGAAAGTCGAATGTTGATAGGACAGATTGAAAGTAAGAGAAAAGTTAAGGCAATCATCAAAACGATATTAAATGCCATCACAAAGTATTAGCACAAAACAACTCTCATTCAAAACATTGGTTTCTTGAATCCCCAACTGTATGGTGGTTCAAACACCCTTATGTCCAAAAAAATCTGTACTTAAAATAAACTTACCCTGGTAAGGTTGAGTTATTATCCGGAGTGATGTGTTTCGTGTCCTTTTACTTATGATCATTGTTTTCCTCTTATCTTTCAATCTGTTTGGTCGACCTTCGGATTTCTATCTGCAAATGTCTTCACAAGTAAATTTATGATCAGGCTGTCAGAAGTGTATTGAGCCAATAAATCACATATTTCTAGTTCGCATTTTCATTGCATTATCTAAATTTATCAAAAGAAGGTAACTTTTAAAGTACTTAAACTTGACATTTGTTGTTTTATCTAACTACTGATTAAATTGCTAGTAGTAAAACTAAATAAATAAACTTTTTATCGCTTGAGTGGCATTTATGTATATGGCTTACATTTTCAGGGCACTATTAGGATATACAGTTAATTAAAGTGTGTTTACTCTGTTCGAACTAGTCCAAACAGCCTTTCAATATCAAATCATTCCACTGGTATTCATATTCATTTATTTCGGTAGGATTCTTTAACTAAATAAGCTACATTCATTATTATTTATACCTCTTATTTATTGAAATGTGTATAAATCAATAGATCGTTAAAAACAAGCTATAGCGCTTATCAAGCTAGAATGAGACTTTATTTAACAAGTTTGTCAAAATAGGTTTCTTCGTGAATTAACTTAATGATGCCAGTCCGAAATAAACATGGTATATCATGAAGTATTTCTTACACTCTGTTAAGAAGCTTAATTTAAATATTCATCGTGTTTTTGAAAGTTACGTTACAAGACAAATTATGACTATTTCTTCATAGATATTGTTGATTTCCCCCAATTATGACTTCCTGATGGAATTTCAGGAATCTATGTCAATGTTTGTCACCAGCAGGCTAACAACTGTTTTGTTAGTTTACTTCAGTTTCTTGAAGGTTTTTTGGAATAAACACATGATTTACACATATTTTATCAAAAAGTTTGAGAATCAACAAAGAAATTTACCATTTTCCACAGGCATTTGGATATTTTATTGTCAATTACAAAATGGATATTATTTAACAAAGAGCATTAGTTTTCAAAACATTCATTATAACGTGACAGTTTTCTTGATTAACGAAGTTGAGACTATGAAAATAACTAAGGGCGAAAAGTGTTCACAATTAGTCAGTCATGACCAATGAAAAACCTGGTATACATGTGTGTCGTTTAAAACTGTCAAACGTATTAGCACAGTGATATGAATTTACCAAGACAAATACTTAAGTATTATGAGTAGAAATGGTATTAGCTGTATTATTTTCAGCCACAGAAGATGAGCAATGTGGTATATGATGAAAGAACATTTCTGACTAAAATACCACCTTGATGTATCTTCCATATCATTCCTTAAGTAAAATAAATTGCTCCACAGTTGTTAATAATATATATATATATATATATATATATATATATATATATATATATATATATATATATATATATATATAAGAAGTAATCCCCTTCAATTTAACGATATAATGAAAGGATACTAAAAGTGTTATGATTTCATCAACTTTGGAAAATAATGAAAGACGAAACTATTACTGTTATCTCCTACACCACGTATAATATATCCTTCTCTCCCGTTACGTTATTATCGCACGAACAATACATTGCAAAAATTTTCTCTTTCCATCAAACATCTAATCAGAAAATAATACAACTAATCACAAGTTCTTTAAAATTTTGTTTCGTAAATCAAGTGAAGTGAGTGACTATTTGAGCAGATTAAATTTAGATCATTAAGTTGACACCTCCATGGTTCACAGTTCTATTTGTTATATATATAAGCGATAAAACACTATTATCATTGATTGTTTTCAGTAATACATATCTTACTATGGACATGATTGAACTCATTTATTGTTAAATGACTGATATTTTGAACCATAAGATATGATGATATTAAATAATGCTTTAAATGAAAGCTTTCATTTAGACAGGTAGAAAAAGCTGTTTCAAACCAACCATTTGATCGGCACTTTCTGAAGATATACGGCGTTTTGTTTACACATCTTTTAGAAAACTTAATTACAACTAACTTCAATGACATAAAGGAGAATGAAATAGTTTTTTTTTGGTATAGATGATGTACCCGTCTACCTATTAAAAGTCGAGAACATTATACAGCAGTTTACTTTGTAATGCCTTATGGCTGATAAATACATCTTTAGGAAGTGAAAAACATTCATAATTTGTTAGTATACGACTTTAGATATCTTTGAAGTATTGGTTGAGTTCAGTGACAGCACTAAATAAGTAATAATCACCTAAGGCCCAAGTAATGAGTAGAAATGATAAATTACTTGATGATAGTAGACTTTTATTATTAATAGGGCAACCATCTGCACCTAGTCACTCTAATAGCCAGCACCGAGCGAGTTGGAACAAAGTAATGGATGATTATATCAAAATATTACATTAGCTCACCTTTATTTTCGGCTGGTTTGAAGAAACATAATTACAATCTATCAGTTGATAATGTAATATACTTTAAAATTTACTGATCAGCAATTCAGCCAACCCGAAAAAATGATGTGCTCATGAGTATTTTGTTGACTGTAATGATTGGGATTAGTTAATATTAAAAGCATTGAGGCCTCAAACGTATTTGTGCACCCATGAATCCGACCACTCAGATAACTCTGTTACAAGACCGGTGTTCCTCTTAACAGTAAACTAAACGATCAGATATATAAAGAAAAACTTGCATATCTACATACGAATCACAACATATCACCTCAGTAATAATGTCTCCGCCCATGAAATTTTATTACGTTGGTTCTAATATCACCGAAAGCCCTAGTTCACCCAAGATTCCAGAAACGTCTTGCCAATAAATATTAACTGACACGAGACCTAGGTTCAGATTTTCCTACAGTTTTCCTAATTTTAACCAACTGACGTTAAAACATAGTGTACTTGACGTGTAGTTACTTAGACTAACGTTCACATTGTGACGTGATGGACAGAATGTCATTAGTATCTGAGATAAAACTCTGAGATTTTAATTATTGTATAGAAAGGCAATGAAATCTTTACAATTAAGTCAGTCAGTGCAGAAGATTTAACTAATCACTAAAAATATCTTACTAAGCTATAAATATTTCCTTGATAGATACACAGATACAAGTGATACATTTGTCACAAATAATGATCAATAGTTTTATTATTAATTCACTGAATATTCAGTTTTGAGCACTTAGAAACTAATAAGAAAGTTAATACTATTAAAATTACCGATATTTGAACAAGTAATGCTTAATATTTCATCATGCTTTTCTAGAGGAACGAATGAGTCAAGGTATGAACACTAAGAATATTACTCCATACGTAATGGATACTTTAGAAGGTGAAATTGGTCGAATAGTTGGATATAGTGTGAAGGTACGTTTTAAATCTGATTTAAAAAGATAATACTCTTTGTTCCTTACTCTTTCTTCTTTACTCAAACTTTCAACCATACTACTTTTATTTACTTATTTAAATACACAAACCTTGGTACAAGGATGCACCAAATAGATATGTGCCATATAAATCATTCCATTTGTGTGAGGGCTGTGATACTGCCCGGGTTCCCAAACCAAAGCCAGTGGTCTTCTTAGGGGGCCACACCCGGAGCCTTCGACTTAATATTGATCCACAAGGCAATGAAGTAACGTAAGGAGATGCAATCCCATGTTAGCCGGTGACCAACAATAGGTTCATACGCCATTTGTTCCCTCAGGATACTAGAGCCCATATGCACCACTGGTTTCGAAACAGGATTTTCGAACCCCCCTAGGTGGACTCTCTGTGTCCATTAACCCAGTTAAATAGTCAGAGATTGGCTTTGCATCTTCTCAATTTTGTAAAAAGCATCCATGGTGCGAGAAGGCAGTGAGTAGGACTTCCCTGACAGTGGTTGTATGCACATGGCCATTTGAGAGCATTTCGAGAGGGAGAGCTGACTCTCCCCACTCTCGGCCATACCAGGGCATTTGGAGGCAACCAAACTACTTAATTACTAATTAACTGAATATAAAACAATTTTATGTTATACAAAAAATAAAATTGTTCTGTTATATCTGGTTCCCTGATTGTTGTATTATAACCATTTCAAGGTAAATATTACAAAAACTGTAAGAAATCATTCATAAGAAACATAAATAATTATGGTAAAGAACTCAAATTTTAAACAAATTCAAGCCTAAATAAATTAGTTCTTTTTGTTGAAAACCGTTCTCTTTAAGATAAATAAAATGGATTAAAGACCTTGAGAAAAAACGCAGTAACCTGGATAGTATCATCATACGCTGTTAAGTTTGCTTCCTCTCTGGAACCAGATTCCAAAATTTTGACAATCTGTTTTTATGAATTGGCTTTTATGAGCCATCCCAGAAGTGACTATGACGAAGACTTATTGCATTACTGATTAATGTAACGGGATATGTTCTAGTGTCCAGATATCAATTTGGTAGAAACTTTTAAAAATGGAATACCCTTAGAAAAAACTCTTGGATATATTTATCACGTTGAGCTTAATTCATTTACGAAAATAATTATGACATGTATACTAAAATAAACCATTACCTGAAAGATCATGATTTCTACTTTTAGTATTCGGGCATATTATGATACTTAAGTTTACTATCCTTGCTAAAAGTAATATTGAACAAATGTTATTATGTATCCTCAGGTTCACTTTTTCATCTATTTACACTTATGGAAACTTGAGTTCAATACTGTGTATCACGGCGATAACGTGTTGATTTTCTAGTTACTAAGTAATGCATCAAAACATTTTATTTAGTTTTTCCAAAATATGTAACTTATTTTCAATTTTCTGAATCTATGTGATCCTGGTAAATGGATCACTTAATTACTTTACTTACTCCTATTACTCCCAATAGGCGTAGGTCGCCGACCATCATTCTTCTACCCACTCTGTTCTGGGCCTTCCTTTCTAGTTCTGTCTAATTGTTGTTCATCCTTCTCATGTCTGTCTCCAATTCTCGGAGTAATCTGTTTTTTGGTCTTCCTCTCTTGCTTTGACTTTGAGGATTCCAAGTGAGGGCTTGTCTTGTGGTGCAGTTGGGTGCTTTCCTATCCACGTCCAGCTCTTCTTTCTGGTTTCTTCCTTCTCTGTGATCTGGGTTGTTCTCTCCCACAGTAGGGAGTTTTTATATTGATGAAACACGTTTTAGTGACCCGATATCTGACTCTAGTTAAATCATTTGCTGATTGTTATCAAATTATACATCCCACCAATCCTCACATATTTTTATCGACTTAATTCACGTTGAAGAATAATGGGACATAATAAGTCGAATACGAGAATAAATTTTGAATACGTATATTTCATACACTAACTGATCCAGACAAACAATCGACAACAACAAGGAAGATAAGCAAAACGTAACGAAAAGAAGCATTTCATTGAAAAAAAGCTGAAAAGAGATGCGCAACGAAGTAAAACAATCTGGTTGTGGCAATATTTCGTTTTATATTTATGTACTGATAAGTCTTTCTAATTAAACGCTACATTTGGTCCTAAGCTCTTCTAGTAACCCACAGGCTCAATTTACACAGCGACTTGAACACGAGAGAAAAGGCGCGAAATATGACAAAACGCTTTACTTCAAAGGGTTGTTTATGTACAGAAAACAAAGGGTGTTTATAGTATTTTAGTTATCCCTGAGTTTCGCGAAAATTCTGAAATGCTACTAAACATAGTAGCAGCATGAGTAATCACCCAATAAGAAACTCAACATGTGACTTTCAGTTTCTTGATTTTTTTGGCAAAACTTCTAATGAACGCTTATTGTATGAGATGTTTCTCAGTGTTTTCAGAGCCCTTGTTGGCTTTTTTCGAGGAGTTTTCTAGATCTCCTAACATGTACAAAATTTGTTGCATAAAAACTAAGTTCAAAATGAAATTATAATGCGTTATCATATTTAATCTTATAAAACTTAATCACATTTTAAAGACAAAGTTTTATTATTATCATTATTATTATCGATTTAACTTGGATAGGGTGTTACAGATACAAACAGTTTGGCTGGTGAAGATGATAAAGAATCCGTTACAATGGTTGATCGTGATGGTGTAGAAGGACGATTGGCTGAAATTCTTTTCAATAAAGTATTTATGAGCTTGTCTTTTTAATAACAATTTCATTATGAACTGTAACTACAGAAGAATGTTTTATGAATTATTTAGGTTATGATCAGTTAGCAAAGTAAATATGAATAGAGTAGGGTGAATAATAACTTACCAAAAAAGCTGAATTGATAGACATAGGATTCTGCCAGAGAAAAAATGTTAAAAGACCAAAAGACTCATCAATAAAACATAAATTGTTTCGTACAATAAAAAAATTAACACCGTTGGATGCCGGCCAGCTCAGAGGTCTAGAGGTTAAGCGCTCGCGCACGAGACTGATAGGTCCTGTATTCGAATATCGCGAGGCGGGATTGTGAGTGCACACTGATGAGAAGTTCCACAATAGGACGAACGACCGTCCAATGCTTCCAGGTTTGCCATAGTGATCTAGCTTCAAATGACTCATGATCTCAACCATTGAAATTATTATAATATCCGCAAAGACATGTAACACAAAGCTATATTGAAACACGTACACATGGTAACAATGACTGATTAAGTGAAGTTTTAAATATCAATTTTAAAAAAATTATAAGTTCTTATTAATAAGTTCCGATTGGTAATTAATTACGGATCTGAAAATTTAGTAACGTTCTGGCAACCAAACTTACAGAGAAATTCCGAGTAGCGACTACAGTTATATCGAAAGGAAAATTGTATGTGTCATATGCATCAATAACCAACCCTTAAGTTGGTATAAACAATATAGTTAAATAATGATTATCTAAAGAAAATTCGACTATCGAATAAACATTAAAAGGTAGAATGACTGGACATTAAAAATGAGTTGTTCTATTGAGCATAGTTACACTAGTCATATACACAATTTTATCAAGATTGTGTGAAATTGATTAAAAAACTAATTCAAAACATAAATAACCACAGGATTTGAACTTTGGTAGACTATTTACAATCCAATGAATTTGAAATCTGACTATATCATGCATGATCACTACTTATTTCATGCCAGTCAGTCAGTCAGCTACAACGTAGGACCAGGCACATATATGCAACGGTCCAAGTTGCCATACCTCATTAACACAGCAAGATGAACACCGGATTCATAAAAGTAGTTAATTCAGAGGTGATAATATATAGGAGGATTGCAATAAGGATATAGTATAGGAAGAAAGAATTAGTTCGCAGAAAGAAAGATATGAAGTGATTTTAATCTCTTAGTTTAAGGGAAGACAGGGAGTGTATACACCGACGCCATTGTGATCGATTCTGAGCCATGTCACCAAGAGTCTCCAACCATTGGTTACGAAAGTCACGCGGACCCCAACCAAGTAGTCTGCATCTACCAACATGGCTCAGACTACAAGTTAGTGACTTCAGGCACTGATGCCACGTTTTGGTTTGGCCGCCCCTAACTTTCTTCCAACCATCCCGAACACAGGTTAGCATTGCACGTCGTGGCAATCGGTGTTCAGACATACGTAACACGTGGCCCAACCATCTCAGTCGATGAAGATTCACAACCTCGTCGACTGATTTACCATCATTCCCTAATACCCTGCGTCTAACCTCACTATAACTTACCCGGTGATCCCAGCAGAGGCCAGCAATATTTCTAAAGCATCTGTGGTCAAATACTAGTAGCTTACGAGTCTCTCTACTCTTAATGGCCACGTTTCGCAGCCGCTAATTAAAACAGAAACTGACTGCCGCGCAGTATACTCGTCCTTTATTGATAGACAGATATCTCGCCTTCGCCATAGGTGACGTAAGTTGGCAAAAGCCAAGCGAGCTTTTCGAATCCGTGCTGAGATTTCGTCAGACACTAACCCATTAGGGCTGATCAGACTTCCAAGATAAGTTAAGTTGTCAACACGTTCGACTACTTCAACTTATTTCATGTAGTATAATGTTACTGTCAATCTAATTCATCCAATTTATTAGTCACTCTTTATTTATTGCATAAAATATTCACGAGGATATGTATTTTTAATGATTTGTTGATGAATTTTCTTAATTCTTTTCAGCTCTATTCCGACATTAATTCTACGAAACAAGTGAGTTACTTGTTACTAACACTAGTCGAAAATGAAATAATAATTTCCAAACAATATCAGATATAATTCATGAATATACATTATCTACAATTGATAATGATTGAAAATATGAACATTTCTGTATCAACTCAAGTAGGTCATACACTCAGTAAGAGTTAAAGTTTCTACCTTCGAATTAAATGTGAGATTGTCATCTCATATTGATGAAATGTTCAAGTGTCGTTTGACCAACACAAATAAAGTAAAAACTTTATTAAATTTAGATGAAGTTTTGTTGTCTTAGATGGATGGTTTGTAATAATGATTTTGTTCACATGAATAATGAAAGCTTTATAAACAAACTATCTAGATTAGAGAACAAAACTCCATCTAAATCATCTACCTCAGCCACAAATCTCTACTATCTCAACTTTGATAAATATACATATATGTTCAAAATCAACTTCAATCCTTACATCACAAACGTGATTAGTAAAATTCAAAGAACATAAACACTGGAGTTCATGATACTTTTCAATCAGGATATGAAGTTTTTCAGTTAATAAGCTTCCTTTTCTTAATGCATCATTCAGTTTATAATATGTGGATATCATCAAAGATAATCTCCATGAAATCATCTGATTCATTGTAAGTTTAATGGCCCGTGGATCTGACTCCAAGAATATAGTATGAGTGATTGTTATCGCCTATCCTCGTATATAATCATCGACCTAAATCGCGTTAGTCGATAACGGAATTAAATAAGTCGAATAACGAGAATGGACTTGTGAATACATATATTTTGCATATAAAGCGAATGGAATAGAGAAAAGAGAAAGGTAGCAGAGTGGAGATGGCTGGTAAGCCAACTCCCATTTAACCAAGCGTTGATCAATAATTATGGTTACACAAAAGTAAGTTACAGATACGTGATGAGTAATGGGGTAAGAAATGTACACACACCTACGCGTTCATATAAAGCAGTCAAGATTGATAAGCGAATAATTAACAAGGTCAAAATGTGACTCAAGAAGAATGAATAGAATGCGCTGTCCGAAAGCTATGGGCTTAATATAATATCCGACACTACAAAGTATTTAGCAAAAAGATACGAACTTGACACAACAACAATACAAAAATGCTAAATATTGTTGACGTTAAGGATCTATCTAAAGGAAATTAACCACAAACCTTCCCCCTTTTTTTCGTTTACTAACCTACTCTATTAATTCTATTGACAAGGTGTCAGTTAACAATTTACTTATTATACACAATCGGTAATGTTGTTTTTACCGTGAAAATTAATCAAAATAAAAAAATCATACCAACTCTGCAACAGAATAATGTTTATTTAAACAGATGAGGTCATGAGTCAATTGAAGCTAGACCACCATGGAAAACTTGGAAGCATTGGACCTCCAGAAAATGCCTCTCTGATTATAATCATTATATGCTCACTTGTGACGGTCTTCAAGAGGCATTGCATGGAGTTCTAATGAGAAGCAGTGACCAGTGGAGTTCAACCGTGTCTGTTGTGAGATAGTAACTCACTGATGACAATCTTGGATGTATCGCTCAATTTCTTGGATTAATTTAAGTTAGACATTAGCACCGTTGGTTAGAAAAGATCGACCCTAGAAATGCACAACTCGCCTTATCCCACGGATATCCGTCTCCGGCAGTAAGGTCTCAACCAGTACGAAGCTAACACAAAAATTACCCATAAAAAGGTCGTGTGTGACCGACCTCAAGCAGTTGTCCCTTGGGCACTGCGGTCACGCTCTCAGGTCACTAAGACCACCTCTAATCCAATTTCCTTTTCAGGCACCTCCAGAAGAACCCTTCCACAATGTGGGCAACCGAGAAGTAGTAACCGCCTTCATACTTCTAACAGCACTCAAGACCCCTGTATTCCGTTGGTTGCCAGCCAGCTCAGTGGTTTAGATGTTAGTCGTTCGCACGCGAGACTAATAGGTCCTTGGTTTGAATCTCGTGGGGTGGGATCGTGGATGCTCACTGTTGAGGCGTCCCACAATAGGATGAAACGCCTATCCAGTGCTTTCAGGTTTTCCATGGTGGTCTAGCTTAAATTGATTCATGATCTCAACAATTAAAATTACTATAATATCCACAAAATCTCTTCTGAACAATGTTAAGTCTGTGTTTATTTTTATTTTTATTCTATCCATGTCAGCTCTTTTTTATTCTATCTATAACTTTTTTTATACAATTTAATTCTCTCATTCATTAATTACTGAGTTGTTTATTTTTCTTTCTTTCTTTATTTATTTCAATTTAGGAGACTGTTAAAAAGATTTCATTTCAAACATCTAATCCCATAGTAACTAATACAAATTTCAATAAATCATCTTACAATTTCATGAATCAATCAAATCAAAAAGATGAACTCCATGTAACAGAAGGTTTTCCAATTCGAATGGAATATTCTTTACCATATAATGAACAATGCGGTGAGTATTAATGAATAAAATTTTTTTTTAAATCTTAATAAATGTTCGAAACTTTTCTTAAATTCTTCTGTAGGACCACAATTAAGTGATCAAGTAAAGTATCGTTTAGCCAATACACGTCAATTGAAAACAGCACATCCTCATGACCTATACTATGCTAAATAGCCTAAATGATGTTCATAAATGAAACTGATATAATAATCAACTCGAGATATGTCAAGTGAGAATTAAGTCTAATAGTCAAATGTTCATGTCATTAGAATTATGAAATCCTTTCCTTTAAAACTCCTCATCTTTGCTCCTGTGCTAAATATCTTATTCATAAGTATGTGATTTTATGAGAAAAAAACTTTTATCCCAAGCAGCTACATTGTCCTTTGTTTTCTATTCAATTTATGGCTTTCATCAATAATTCATTCTTATGATCAGACAATACTCGACTACACTGTATCACATCATATTGTCAATCGATTGATATTTCTTCATTCATTTCAGAAGTATATTAATGCTAATTAAAACACTTCAAACTTTCTATGTAATAAAAACTTGTAAGCTGATAAACACTAAAATAAGTCACCACATCTTCTATGGTAGATTTGCATAGCTTATGAGTTCGTCAAGTTTAATACTTAGTTCTTAATAGAATTACAACTAAACTTAAGATTTATTTCATATAAGAGTAGCTATTATTCAATGAACTACTAATGATAATATTTAATTAAGAGTATACATTGGACAAATGAAGAAAGAAATGGATCCTCATCATATTGCCTATATTAAATGAAGTATACATATCGTGTATCATTTTTTATTATATCACAGTAAAACAAACATTTACTTATCAATTCAAAATGAATTCAGCATTCTATAATGATTTCCAATATTAAGTTTCATATGAAATTCTAATCAAATGTTTAGTTGTCACTGATTGAATCACTAAGACACTCTATTACTTTGATGGAGTTTTGTTCTCTGAGCTGGATGGAGAAATTTGAACACTTCACTTCTATCTGAAGTTTGTGCTGATGATGTCGTTCAGAAGAACGATGAAAGCTCCACGACCAAACCATCCAGCTCAGAGAACAAAACTCCATCAAAATCATCCACCTGAGCTACAAATCTTCTCCACCACACTCTATTACTACTATGATTTTATATCAGGTTATTATTTCCTCTATATTGTTTTACTCTTTTTCATATCCCTCTTCCACCCCACCCCCATCAAACATTTTAGAACTTCAATGGTATAAATTAAACAATAAAAATCAACGAGTCCCAGTCAAACTTGATTTTCGTATTGAACATGTTATCACTGGTGCAATTCATATGTCATTCAAACAACATCAACAATTAAATCATCAATATCCAAAACATCCATTTGTTTTGTCAAATTCAGGTTTGATTACAAGTGAAACAAAACAAAAGTTGAATCAATGGAAATGTAAATTATTAGAATCTGAATCAAATACTAATGTCAATAATAATAATAATAATAATAATAATAATAATAATAATAATAATGGTAATGAAATCATCTACCTACAACATCATCTCATCATATGGGCAAGTAAACCTGATGACGCTGGAAGATATTTTGCATCAAATCAATATCCATCGAATACAGATGGTATATCATCAACCGAAGAGAAGGAATTTATACTACAAGTAATAAGTAAGTTAATTATTTTTATTTGTACAATTTAGAAGAAAAATAAACAAACAAACCCGATATTTACCTTGTAGTAAGAGTACAATTTGTTAAGCTGAAGTAATTAGGATGACTCTCCCAGTCTCCCACATTGTAAGAGCATTCCATGTACCTAAATTAATGATTGCTCTAGTTGTCAGAATAGGTATCAGCCTCGTGAATTCCAAAGGAACTCGGCTTTCACTATGAGGTGTCATAACTCTTCTAAATGAAAACCTTCTAACTCCCAGGGCAGAGTTTAGATGGTTTGAATTAACTTCCCTGGTTAGCGTTTGTTTAGCGAGTTAGTTTTCTACGGGATTGCGTCTCAAACTCCATGCCCAAGCCTCTCTCTTTGTCCGAGCTTGGGGCCAGCATTAGCCCCAGAGGGACCCCAGGAGGAGTTAAGCTAAGTAAAACAAACTCTGTTCCTTAAAGACAAAAATATTTTATTTTCAGTATCAATTTACATATATGTTGTTAGTTATATATCTAAGTTATTAATTGATAAACGATTAACTCTACGATATATATTACCCATCAACATTACTCAAATTGATCTCGGGCAAAATCTTATAACTGACTTTATTTATATGGTTCTTTTAAAGAGTGTTTGAGAAGCCTATATAAGCCAAGAAACATTTTGAATACGTTTGAACGATCAGTTGCTTTATTATCATTTTGACTTTTGTAGAGTTTAAACTTGTTAAAACCTATGGAATCTAGTAGTAAAATAGAAATTCGATATTCCAAGTATATGATATGAGGACTAGAAGTTCAGATTAACACTTTGTTAATGATAGGATAAACCATCGACAGTTATTACGTACAAAACAACAGTACTGGAAATATTTCACTAAAGCGGGCAAATCCATCTTTTCGATTCATAATGACAATGAGAGCAATCAGATATAGAAAAGATTAAGAATCTTAATTTATTTCGACATCGTGTATATACTCAGGAAAATGACTAATTACTGATAGTTAACCTTATCAGTTCTTTAATTCACCGATAAAAATCGGCCTGTGAAGTGAAATAATCCATTACTCTAGGCAATGTAGTAATTATGATAACAATTGCTCTATTCAGTACTATATATCCGATCGCATCGAAGAATTCTCAATGCAAAGTATGCAATATCGTACTGAATTTCCCACTTTATAATCATTTAAGTAGTGGATATTCTGCTATTATTATCCAACTGTAAACATTCGTGATCAGTCTTGTTTCCATGGTATTACATTGCATGTATGTAATCTATCGTAACCATTTCTCGTTTTTACACTCAACAGAAAAGATAGAAAATGAATAAACTAACGTAGAGGTATTTTAGGCTTTCTTAATAATCAGATCGGCAATAGGTCGTAAACACTTTATTAAGGTTTACAAGGGATGCGGCTGGCAGTCATAAGTGATTACAAATCCACAAACAGTAACACCTATGGTAGTAAGTGCGTATTTGGGAAAATAATGACTCAGATGTCTGAGCAGGCAGTCATGAAATACATTGAACGATATCACTTAAAGATATTATTGAAAACACAACTCGTAAAGTGATTGTAAACTTCTCTAAAATCACTTGTGTTCCTCTTATACAATAAATTATCATTCTTTGTGAATATTCTTTACATGAATACATGTATAATCTCTACTAAGCTTAAATACTGTAGAAAATACATATATATCTAGATTAAATGCTTTTGTTATTGTTACTTCTATGAGTTAGCTGGTTAATGACAGGAATATTGAAGCACATAGCAACAACGAACCCATACAAAAACAATCATTTACAAATCAGATCAGCGGAACTAAAGGATTTAAAACATTTGCAACAATTCTAAATAAACTCAAATCTAAGTTAGGTTGACAGTGATTTCACTGTACAGAACGATAATAAAAGTTTCACATTTAAATCATATTGCACAGAGAAGTTAGAACCAAAAATAGCGTCTAAGAAGTCATATTGTTTGTTAAAACAATACTAGTTTATGAAGTTTATTTACTGCTTACATGCTGAATAAACTATAAATTTCATTTGATATCTCTTTATTTTAAAAATTCAGAATCCAATCAATCATCAGGCAGTCCACAATGTTCACCAGAATTTATTGAACCTCTTTTAGTACAACCAATGAGCAGTGCTACTAGTGATCCTTTTATTGAAATGACATGTATAGTGACAGGCAATCCTATACCAAGATGTTTATTATACCGAAATTCAGTACCTATCCCAGTGGTTGTAATGCCTTTTCTCAAAATCGAACCTAATGATCCACTATCTACATTGAGTTCTTTAACGCAAAAATACACTGTCACAACATCATTATTTGATTTAAACAAATCAGATCGATCAAACAGTTATACAAGAAAGATTACACTACGTCTTAATCGACCATCCAGTTCAGAAGACATAGCCACCTATAGTTGCCGTGCATGGAATTGTCATGGTCGAACTATTACATCAAGTGTTTTATCAATGCAAGGTAAATATTAACTGACCTTCTTTTTATTCATATTGTAATCACATTTTTCTAAAGAATTTCTGTAATCTGACTGTAGTTTCCTTTTCATTAGGAGGAGCAACTTGAATGCTTTCTAAGGCATTCATAATCAATTGATAAAGTAGTGAAGCTTCATCAGTTGAGATGGCTGAGACACGTGTTACGTATGCCCAACCACCGATTGCCTCGACGTACTATGTTTTATGGTGTAGGAGTAGGTTGGAAGAAAGCTAGGGGCAGTCAAACGAAAGCATGGCACAGATCCATGAAGTTTCTGACAAGTGGACTGAGTCATGTTGGTAGGTGTAGACTACCTGGTTGGGATCGGCCAGATGATAGCAACCGATGGTTAGAGACCTTAAATGACATGGCTCAAAATCGTTTTCAATGACGCGGGTGCATCCACTCTTTGTGTTCTCCCAAATTCTATTCTTCTGAGTTCTTCATGTCCGTTTTTTTCTTTTTCCAAATCTATTTCACTCGATTATACTCATTGAATAACATTTTCAAACCCTAATTTTTCCGATGACTACTTATACTTTTTCTACCTCTACCACTATGGGATTTGAATGGACAATTGTATCTGTGTGATAATGTGGTATGGCTACTCGAACTGATGTACGTATGTACGAAGTTCTACGTTGCTACTGACTAGCTGAATAATTTATACTGATTACATTATTTAAGAAGGATTAATTAACTACCTTTTCTATTCTAATCAATCATAGTTGAGTAGGTTTTCTTGAAGTATTTTCCACAACTATCAGCTTGAGAAAGCATTTGATTTGATTCCAAGGAATTCAAATGATTCTAACTGAAATTTTTTGGTAACTCGATTTCTGCTTCTAATTTAGTTATAAATTGTTTATTTTCTCAACGACAACAAAAATGGTCTCATCCGGAAGAACATTCCTTCATAACTTCTTAAAATGAATCAAATAACTGTATATAATATGCCTCAATTCATTTGTTCCACATGACAAGTTAAATGAATCTCAAATGTCTGTCAGACATTGTTACGTAACTAAAGAATTATGTAATCCTAGTAGTTTCTTAACAATCAGTCATTAGATAACTTGTGTAATTTATGTAAGTTATGACCTCTATCCTACAGATTGTATATGTGTAATAGTTGACATTGATCATAAACATTTATTTAATTACTATCTATCTATCTATCTATCTATGTTTTTCTTTAAAATCATGATTTAACTATTCATTGTTTAGATCACTTCGCTAAATTCGATTGTCCCTTGGAAAAACCGAATATGAATGACAATATCGATATGGTAAAAATTGATTCAATTCAATCAACAGTAAGTACTTCTCAAAATGTTCGTGATGTAAGCTTGTGTTCTATGTAAAATACATCACCTTTCATGCAGTTACATTTTCAAATTACCTCATAATTGATCATTTGTTACAGCTTAATAATAGTAGTGTAAATCAATTGTTAACTGGTCACATTATAGGTGGGAATTCTCAAAAAATATTACTTGATTTGACATACCTACTAAAGCATAATAAATGTGGTGGCTTTTACTGAAATGTCATTTCAGACAATATTCTTGTGTGATTATATCCAAAAACCCTTTGCACGATGCTTAAAAACTAAATCGCAGGATTTTTTTATAACCTTGTAACCAGTTTACTGTCGTATTCTGCAGCCCGATCTCGTCATCATACCATTTCGTAGCTTTTTACCAACTTGGTATTTAAGAAATAGTCAGTGAAACAGAATGAGCTTTATTGCTAAAAGCCTAATTCTCATATTTGCAACTCATTTGTATAAACAGACTATTGAACCAACTCAAATATGGAGATTTGAGTGATGATGTTAACTTGATAAAGAAACCACCCAAAATGGTCAGGTGAAACTTATCGCTTATGTACCACGTAACTCTGGATTTACATTTGATCTATTCGGAATTCCCCGATCTAACACTAACTTTGTAGTCGGAATAAATCAATTGTAATATATTTCTCTATTGTACTGAGCTTTAAGAGTTGAGACCCTTGGTGATATATGTGTTCTTTTAAAGTTATAGATATGACTGGTTGTTCATTTTCAATAAGCACAAAAATAAGAAAAAAATCAACCAATGTAACTAATTCTCTAAAGTTACCTATGACTAAGGTAATGTTTTGACTGCATTTTCAGTCGTGATAGCTAATACAATTCTATTTGGAATAAGTCTGTTAAATCCACATACAATGACGTTAGTATTTTCATCTAGACCATAGCCTTGTACCCATAATTTAATAGTAATAAATATTATCTGACGAGCTACCATAAACTATGGGACCGGTCATTATGGAAACCGATAACTCCATATATACTTGCCAAGTACTACGTTGTTTGACTGACTGTTTGTTGTTAAAGCTTGAATATGATCAAATCTAACAATCTTTCAATGAATATATTGATAATACTTGTATTTGGTAGTGGCTAAAGTAAAGGAATTCTCTAAAGAACAATATATGGCATCTCAATTTAAGTCTAATCAACTTGCAACAAGAATAAATATCAGTAACACTTATATTAGACTATCCTATGTAAAGTATACATAATTATTAACGAATATTGTGTCCTTCATGATATGTACAACAGTGTGGATGTATACAAAATAGGAACAGGTATGACCTGTAGTCCTACAATCAGCCAACATTAGTACTGTTTAAGTTGGTATTGTGGCTAGCAGCGCGATCCAATATACGCATTCTGTACTATTTGGGACTCCTATGCTGTATGTTCCTTCATTAGTAAGTTGGTCTTCACACTGAGACTCAAACCCAAAACCTATCTCTACAAAGCCAATGAATTTTTCACCGAACCACTGGATTCAAACAAGTGACAGCTTTTCCAAGAGGGTGTAATACTTATTCGTGAGGGTTTTTTATACACTCTCTGTTAATATATTTGGCTGTATTTAATCAGTGTTTATCAGCATATGTGCACCCTCAGCGGATGCATATACACTAAAGCTGGTAACAAAAATGATAATATCGAGGCGTCTGCTCATGATCTACATGTCTCCATAATCAGGATTCAGTATTAAATATCAACAACTGAATAGCGCTTACAAATACTGTCTTAATTTCTTCTGACTGATGGACCCATGAAAACAGACGGTTGAACATCTATCTTTGGAGAAAAACCGCCAACAAATTTTTGCTTTCAAAGAAATGAGAATAATATTTAACTATTTAAAAGACTAAATGAAGCCATAAGGAAAGTGAATGTTTACATTTATACTACATCATACAGACTCCTATCTTAAAGTAATTGAATGCTAGAGTTTCAATGTTTTTATTAATCCAACTTCAACTGAAAATTGTAAATGTGGTGAGATGATAGTAGGACATCGAAAACTGTGTCATCTCTGAGTATGAAGCAAACATACTATCTTTATTCAACAAAGATTCTATATGTTTACCTAACGAATTTCAGTAATAAAAGTTATATCGGTTTTCGATAACATAATTTTTGTGTATCGCAAATACAAAATTCTATAAATGCATCACCAGACACAAGAAATATCATACTTCGAACCTAATACAAACCACTGGTCAAGTGAAATAATGATACATGCAATTAATTAACCTAAAGCCTAAAAACAAACAAACTAATAATTACATATCTATTAAAATCCATTAAAAGATTCTAACCCACCGATTAAGTTGCACAAAAAACCTCCAAATCAAATAGTGAAATATATCTGTAAGACAGAACTCAAGTCTTCAATTATTAAGGCGGCGATTATAAGTCAAAAGTATAGTCAATGAAAATATATCTTTACAATTTAGAGGACACCACAAAGCTGTGTCAAAATAAACAGGCTGTCCGAAAGAACAAATTCTTGTTACTAAACAACACACATAATAACAGTGAAAAGGAAATATGAATACATATAAGAAGTGTAAAATAGATTTCAAAACACCTTGAATTATCTGCTTTCATAAACTTTAAATAATTTCACCAAAAAAAACTCGAGTTGAAGTTAGACATTAACGCCGTTGGATGCCGGCCAGCTCATTGGTCTAGTGGTCAGACGCTCGAGCGCAAGACTGGTGAGTCCTGGATTCGAATCTCGCGAGGCGGGGTCGTGGATGCGCACTGCTAAGGGTCTCATACTAAAATGAAACGGCCATCCAAAGCTTCCAGGTTTTCCATGGTGGTCTAGCTTCAATTGACTCATAATTTCAACTATTAAAATTACTGTAATATACACAAAACCCCTCTCTGATTATAATCATTATATGTTCATTAGTGACGATCTCCAAGAGGTATTTCCTGGAGTTCTAGTAAGAAACAATGACCAGTGGAGTTTAGCCGTGTCTGTTGTGAGATAGTAACCCACTGAAGACAATGGTAGACGGTGGCGCAACTTCGTGGGTTAGTTGAAATTAGACATTAACACTGTTGGATGTCGGCCGGCTCAGTGATCTAGATGTTAGGCGTCTTTGCGCGACTCAAAGGTCCCAGATTCGAGACCCGCGCGTGGGATCGTGGATGCTCACTGCTGAAGATTCTCATACCAGAATGAAACGGCTGTGCAGTACGTTCGGGTTTTTCATGATGGTCTAGCCTCAATCGACTCACGAATTCAACCATTAAATTACTATAATATTCACCAAAACCCTTTTCTGATTTTAATATGTAATATTGATCATTCAATATTGAACTACATCGTGAAATATTTCTTTGGCTGGTGCATTCTCTTCAAGTTTGTTTTCTTTGAAAATTCATTCTAACATATGGGCTTGCTGAATGCTCTTTGTGCACACAGAAATACTTGTTTAAATGATTTTTGTAGGAAAATTTTTGTGTTTTTGTTTTACATTTTTAAACTTAAAATCTATTCAATGAACTTATTGATAGTTTTCAAATTTTTTTCTTCAGAAGGGTGATCCTCTGATCAAAAAGAAGAATCCCCTCTCATTACCGTAATAAGTGATTCACATGACAGGTATAAGATATATATCTATTAATTGACTTGAATTGTCTATCACTTAATTATCAATGATGTGACTACTTAAATATGAACCTTAACTAATATTCATTTAGCGTTCACGGTTTTAATATTTGAACATTACTACTGGCAAACAATCAGTAGCCAAGGTGCCTAAACACAAAAATTCACTAATAATATTCAACTACTGAATACTTGAAAGCTCTTAACTGTAAATTTGGAAATTTTGACAATCAATTCGTCGTAATCATACAGGGATAAGAGGTTAAACTATATAAATCCCAGTCCTGTTTTTTTTCAAGTATGTGAATCAGTACCTACTATGGTTTGATTGTTTCTTCTTGGATCTAAATGTAATATCCAAAGTTTCCATCAACTCATTTACTGTACATCTCATTGTATTAGTGTCGATACAATTCCTGTTAGAGTTAAATATATAAAGATTATTGACATTCACAAGTATGAAATATCATTATAGTAGTAGGACATGGATAAGAAACAATTAAGGGTAAGATTATCAATTAAATAAACGTAGTAATCCCGTTGAGATGGTGGAGAAGATTTGTAGCTCAAGTAGATGATTTTGGTGGAGTTTTGTTCTCTAGGTAGTAATCTCTTACTTTACCATCAAGTTGAATTCTTATAAACTCAGTTAAAAAATATTTGGTATTTGGTAAATTCCTATCGAGTATTCACTCAGTTTTGATATGCCTTTAATACAAAGGTCATTATAATTTAGGAATACTTAAATGTAGTTAGTAAACTCAATGACTAGAAACTCTATATAAGGAATGATATTTCCTCATGAAGTGTATTTCTTAAACGCTATAGACTTGACATTATTTTCTTAACCATTAGGATCTTGGTCACGGTCATAATCTGAAAACTCTATGAGACAAGTGATTCTTGTTATTTATTGACAGGATATAAATTTATTAAGTTTATATTGCATACATAAATCGTTATCATTGAATCTTCTGTATCCACTTTTATATGGTAAAAACCTTTCAATAAAGTTACTCATTGTAAAGTCTAAACATGATTTCAAGATTCAGCAAATTTCTATGTATGAAGTTCCATGAAACTATTTAACGAAGTTATTAACTTGATAACATTGGCTTAGACATATGTGAATAGATCAGCAGTAATAGTATTAACAACGACATCAAGAAAATGTCATTTTGAATCTTAAGAAGTAACTGAAATCTAAGGTGTAGTATGTTTTCTTTCAAGATTTCCGATGAAACTCGATAATGATCATTAAGATTTTTTTTTAAAAATAGATATTTTAGAATTTTTGTCGAATTACACTGTAAAATTGTTAATGCACAAATTATGGTGTTTATCGAATTCTTAGAGTTAACCCTACTCTTTTGATCAATTTCTAATGTGACCACTAAGCTAAGTAACTCAATAAGGCATTATATCATGTTTGAATTGGTAAGTAATTGGAGATTATTCCCAGGATACTACAAAGCCAAGTTTCATGTTAACTGACACTCGTTAACAAAATTTACCTGCAATTTTCGAGAGGAATTATCCTCCAAGTGAAACAATAAAGAATTCTTGCTATCAATTAACAACTCGTGTAATATCCAGTACTAAAACTTGATTTCTTGATTTCGTCTAATTATCTAATTTCTTCAATGTATTCAGATGGGATGAAAATTTCATTAATATATATCAATATTCTTTTATTTTTACTACCGGGTTTTATAAACTTATTCTGATTATCCGTTTTTACACTTGTAGTATCAGTGAATTCAAACGATTTGAACCGGTAAGTGGTTTCTATATGTTATATATATTTTAGCTGATCCCTTCATTCATTCGCCCATGAAGAGAATTCGATTATCATTTTTACTTAGTTAACTTATATTTAAGGCGAAATAATAAACGTGTCTTTAGTATAGTTAACTTTATGTATTCCTACAATATATCGTACTTACAAATAACCATTTGATTTAGGATTGTTAAATGTTAATGACTAAGAACTCCAGATATAAGGCCAATGTTGGTTGACACTAGTTACCAGAGTGTATTTGAAATCTACCCGAGAAAGTGGTAGTTGTGTTTCAGAAACCTCGGCGGTAACATCTTTGAATGTGACATTGAACAAAGTGGGTTTGAATCCCTTTCAGATCAGTAGTTTCCTCGGGAATGAAGATATACTGTGCTTACGCAAAACTAAACAGTATTCTTCCATATATCTAATATCACTTAACATTAAACGAACTGTATTGTTAAATTGAATCACTCAAACTACTTCCTGATTCCACTGATTAATTATAAGTAAACAACTCAATGATAATTACTACTGAGAGGATAGTGAATGTTAATCTTTGCTTTGAAAAGGATAAATAGAGAAAGGAACTGGACGGAACTTCATTTTCCGGCTGAGTTATAAGAAGGTGATACAAAAAATTACCATCTAGTATTGACCAATCTGGGTAGAATAATTATCATAGCAACCTATAGAGATAAACATTAGTTATCCGGTTTGCTGCACCTATCAAAAAATAATTAGTATTTTCATTCAACAAATTATTGATTGTTAATGTGACACAAATACCCTAGTTGGCTAAAAGAAATTGAAATCTATTCAATTTACAATTGACTGATCACTGAGTGGTGATCAGTGACATGTGTGTTAGGTCCTTCTTAGTGCAGATCGAATCCTATCGACCAAGTTGCAATGTGGCCATTAGTCTAGGTAACTCGAAATTGCGTGCACTATGTTGAAATAAGATGGTGGTTGAAGGTAGTCGACTGGTAACCCTGGACCCAGGTTTCGTGTTACTTGGCACTCGTCAGCAAGATGTACCTGTAATCTTGAGGCAACTGATGCTCCCTGACGGATTCGACCCCGTGACACACGTGACATTGATCACCACCCAGTGATCAATCAATTGTAAATACATCTCAGTTCTACAGGAGGTTAGTCGCCACTCGGATAGCCTAGCTGTAACGTCTCTGACTGTGAAGCTGGGTGACACGGGGTCGAATTTATCAGAGAGTACTAGTTCCCTCAAGATTATAGACAAACTTAATCAATGTTTCTGTGGTTAATTGCTCGAACATTTCTAAACAAAAAATCCTCGAAATATTGGTAAACACCCAATAGTATATTTTAAGGAAATTGTTTTTTCCAAAGTCTCACTGAACAAATTAATACATCTTTGCTTGCTTAAACTAGAAATATTCAAGTTCTATCATTGAAATATCTCCTGAAAGCCAATCCATTGATGTTAAGTAAGTTCACTTGTTCCATTAAGATTTGCTTTTTATTTTTATCTCTTCGTGCCAACAGCCATCCTCTAGAAGACACTATCATGATTTGAGGTAGTTACATGGTTACAGTGAACACTTGATTGATTACTCGATTAGCAGCGCGTAGTTTGTATGAACCAAATTCGCTGTACATGATAAGCTATGATAGAAAATTAGAAGGTTGTACTGATCACAAGAATAATTAATATATATACTTCACTTGCCTGTGTGTCAACAAAACAGGAAATCATCTTCATATCTAATGCAAATCAAACTGACATACCTCACAATCTCAATAATGTTGTTCGAAAAACTCCCTTCAGTATTCTCTAATGATTTCATCTGAACATTACTACAAGTTTTGCTATTGAAACATGTAGCTTAAAGAATAAAACATCATTATGTTACCACAAGAGTTAGTATCTATTTAAATATTGATTTTGTGGAACATTATCACTTGTTACTCTACACTATATTGTTATATACTCATCTTGATATCTACTATAACTATCTAATATAACATCATCAGCTGATGACGTCGTTCATAAGAACGATGAAAGCTCCATGACTAGACCATCCAGCTCAGAGAAAAAAACTCCATCAAAATCTACTCCACCATCTCAAAGTAGTTTACTTTTCACACTTCTCATAATACATCCAATGATAAACATTACGAAGCATTAGTTTTTACATTCTCTAATCGATTTTACACTATTCTAATAACTTTTATATGAAATGAAATAAAATGTAACGCAACATGTAGTCTTATAAAATATGTATTAGTAGAAATCAAGTATCTATAGACAAAGTTTCCATTGTGAACTTTATAGATTATAGCAAGTTCAAAATCCCAACATGTTACTCAATTCTACCCTCAAACAAATTTCATACAATTAGTTTCCTTGACAAATTATTCAATTTATTATGAAGAAGAACTGGAATTCTACACGTACTAAGGGATCAATGTGTTTCTGTTCTTTTTTTATTAATCAGAAGAGAAAACAACATGTTCATAGGATTAATGAGTAATGGTACTCTAGGATCTTGATATCTATGTAACAAGGCTTGAATATACAAAATGGTTATCAATGATTTTACTAATGATTTTCTTCAGTTAGAACTACCGAATAAGCAATAAAGGAGTTTAAATATAAAGTTGTAGATAAGAAGATAAGTCATTTGAAGGAGATTATCAACTTAATCTAACTGATGTGCAATTTAATTGTGTTGAGTAATCCAAACGATTAAGAATGGTTATTCTATTGAAATCTCAATAAAATTCAATGAGACTATAGTTGTTATTCACTTATAGTATATCAGTTGTATTATTATTTCAGTTAATAACTTTCAATGAACTCACGCGATCCCTAATTAACAATTACGAATAATTTTAATGAAGACTATATTTTTTTAGTAGTTGGGACCATGAGTCAATTGAAGCTAGACCATCATGGAAAACTTGGAAGCATTGGACGGCCATTTCGTCCTATTGTGGAACTCCTCAGCAGTGCGCATCCACGATCCTGCCTCGCGAGATTCAAACCAGTGCTTCCAGGTTCTTCATGGTCGTCTAGCTTCAATTGACTCATGACCTCAACTATTAAAATTACTATAACATCCATAAACCCTTTCTGATACTATGTTTTTTGTTTACTGAACCTTGTTCTATATAAATAATTGCAATTATACATAACTTGTTTCACAATTATTTATTTGACAGTATGAAAACCTCTACTGTGATAAAAACAGTAAGTTTTCTTTCATTGTTTTCCTTCATTCATAATCAATTATTTCTTTGACAAACCATTTATAGTGTTATCATCGAGTAAATTTTCCCATCACTTTTTAAGTTGAAAATTAAAACTTACTTACTTACGCCTGTTAGTCCAAATGGAGCATAGGTCACCGACCAGCGTTCTCCAACCTACTCTGTCCTGGGCCCTCCTTTCTAGTTCCATCCAACTTTCGTTCATTCTTCTCATGTCTGTCTCCGTTTCTCGGTGTAATGTGTTCTTTGGTCTTCATCTTCTCCTTTGGCTTTGAAGATTCCAAGTGAGGGCTTGTCTTGTGACGCAGTTGGAAGCTACTAACTTTTAATAGGACTTAATAGTTTATTCATTTTATGACCAATTAACTTCAATCATCTCTAAAATTCGTTTAAAGTAACGAGATTAATCATATTATCATTATAAGGTTGTGGAGACTAAATTTCAATATTAGACCATCATTAAAAACCATGAAGCACTAGACGGATGTTTCGTTCTAGTATGGGACTACTCAACCATGCATAACCACAATCCCACCAGCAGGAATCGAACCTAAAAACCTTCGGTTTCGCGCCCAAACCCTTAACCTTTAGATCACTGAGCCAACATTAAATAGAGTTAATGTTTAAATTTAACCAATCCACGATACCGAGTAACCATCTTCCATTTTTTTAGTTGAGTTAGTGCCTCACACTGAATATAGATTATATCCACTGGTCATAGCTTCTCACTAGGTTCCAGAAAATTTCCTCTCGAAGTTCGTCACAAGTGAGCATATGATAACTTTCAGTGTGAGATTGTTGAGATTGTTGAATTTCATTCCAAGTTTTCATTGATTGTTCAACTTAATGAAATGTATCATTTTTATTAAGTTCAACAGATTTTAAATGTCAAATAACTCGTCAGGGAACTTATAATGAAGGGGATAAAATGGCCGTCCAGTGCTTCCAGGTTTTCCATGGTGGTCTAGCTTCAATTGGCTCACGATCTCCACTATTAAAATTACTATAATATCCACAAAACCCCTCCTGAAATTAATAACGAATTTTTTATTTCCTGTTCACCCGAATTTAATCAATAATAAATCCATATTTGTGTACAATTGAATGATCTTCAAAACTTTATTATCACAATAGGCTCATCACAATTTAGTGCTGAAGTCCTTAACTTTTCATCAAGAAACATTCTAAACATTCCAAGGAATTTCTGTCAATTCAAATCTCTATTCGGACACCTAGAATAAAACTGTCTGAAAACTTAAAACATGGTCGATAGCATTCGATCTGCACTAAATAAGGACTTGACACACATGACATTGATCACCACCCAGTGATCAATCAATTGTGATTACATCTCAGTTCTACAGGAGGTCGGTCGCGGCCCGGATAGCTCAGTGGTAACGTCTCTGACTGTGAAGCTGGGTGACATGGGACCGAATCCGCCAGGGAGCACCAGTTCCTTCAAGACTACAGGTACACCTTACTGACGAGTGCCAATTAGCACAAAACCCGGTCCAGGGTTTCCTGTCGACTATCTCCAACCACCATCTAAACTAAAAACATTTCAGATACTACGAAGTCATTGGAATTAATTTAATATGACTCCAACAATGAACAACTACCAACTTTTAAGAGATTGAGTCTTCAACGGACACAATACAATTAGGTTAGTTAAACAAACTAATTATATGGTTTCTAACTAATTCCATTTCTTGATATAGAAATGCCTTCAAATTAGACTGAAATTTTTACTTCCAAAAATTCGAATTTAATAAGAACAAGTGTACGCTCATCAATATGCTGATTGTGATATATTTTCGAGGTTTTCAATGAAATCCACACTGAACACAAAATGAAGCTCGTGCTACACAGAGTATTGATTGGATCTAGTAAACATGGATTATCGTGGCTCTTCCACTTCACATTAGCTTTATTCATTTAAAGCTGAAATTAGTTTACAATAGATTTTTAACGTTAAATTACATCAAACTGTCACAGGATTAATTAAATCAATTAAAATGTTTATTTCTCTAAAGTCTGATAACTTTGAAAACTAATTTAACCTTATTAGAAAAGATTAAATCATAAATTGATTAAAGACATTTATTATCAAATGAGGTTGCGTACTAATCAAGGGGTAAGGGAGAAAATAATTTATGGGTCAGATATGAAGAACAACAAACATAAAGGTCATAATAATAAACTGAATAATAATCGAGCAAACTTGTATAATTTTAATAGTTGAGATCATCAGTCAATTGAACCTAGATCACCATGGAATACCTGGAAACATTGAATGGCCGTTTCATGCTATTGTGGGACTCCTCAGCAGTTTGCATCCACAATCCCATCCCGCGAGATTCTAACCCAGGACCTATTAGTCTCGCATGCGAACGATTAATATCTAAACCACTGAGCTGGCCGGCATCCGACGGTATTAATGTCTAACTTCAACTAGTCTAAGAAATTGAGAGACACATCCACCATTGTCATCAATGAGTTACTATCTCACAACAGACCCGGTTGAACTCCACTGGTCACTGCTTCTCACTAGAACTCCATGCAATACCTCTTGGAGACCGTCACTAGTGAGCATATGTTGATTAGTATCAGAAGAGGTTTTGTGGAGATTGTAGTAACTTCAATAGTTGAGATCACGAGTCAATTGAAGCTAGACCATCATGGAAAACCTGGAAGCACTGAACGGCACTTTCGTCCTATTGTGGGATTCCTCAATAATAATAACTGATTCGAGTTTAAAATTGCAAAATATATCTAACCTATAAATTATTTGCTTCCTTACCCCTTGATTACATACGTAACCTCATTTGATAATAAAAGTCTTGAATCTATTTATGATGCAATCCTTTCTACCCTCCTATAGACATATAATTTCCATATAACTAACCTTGTTAATCTATTTTTTTCTGTTTTATCTGAATGTTTCTCTTTGTTGTTCGTCCCATTTTATTTTATTCTAATACTTGTTATGTATATGTATATGTATGCATGTGTAAAAATGATTATGTTGTTATCATCCTCTTGATTGTTACAAATACTTAACGCTTGAACATTTCATATATTTATCATATTAAACACCATATTGATCTTGTTATATAACTGATCCATTGGGTGACTGATTTTCCTCATTCTCTATATCCGTCATTATTACTAATTTAGCATCGTTGCTGTACACAGTGTACAATGATATGAAAAATCATGAAATATACTTTTTTTAAGTAATCTGTGATAAATTATCCATTGTTACCATTTAAAATGTATAAAAACTGTATATATGACGGATGATGATGATTGTAGCGGTGACCGTAACTATTCAGGTCATAGGACTAAACACAAAGGACTCCATTAGAATGAATGGCGAGACTATAATTAATGAACGAACCAATCAGGTACAAGATAACAGGTCTCGGATTCGGGAGCGAAATTCATTCATCCATTTGGATAAATAGAGTTTTGGTATTATACCTGATGTCAGTTCGTGATGAAAAACCGAAATATAATTCCTCAGATTAATCGTCGACTGTAGATTATAATTCTAATTTCTCACATAGGTTCATAACCTTCATTTGGTCCTGGTTATTAAATGAACACTATCAAGGTCAGTCTGGAGTCGCTCAAAGCTCGTCCATAAATTATAGTCTCACCGAATGAATTTCACCAGTTGAAATATACTATTCAAAAGAGTCAAGTTAAATCAAGAGTGAAGATATATGGTGATCATGTATTTGTATGACATAATGATTTAGTTGATTAGGTTGTAAAGATTCGTTTAATTTGTGAGTGGTTGTCATGACGAATGAACATTAGTTAGAATAACTCTGAGAACAAGGAATCATCTTAAAAGTATTTTATATTAATATAAATTATCAATTTTAAATTGTTGAAAGAGTTCAGCCAAGCTAAAAGTGAAATAATCATCAATTTAGTATGAGATCACAAGCTTATTACTCTATATCATGAATATAATCCAAAAATGTAGATCGTTATGTTCCAACCCTCATTCTCTTTCTTCTCAAAGATCCTGAATTCTAACTCTGGATAAATTGTGGCTAAATCTGTCTAACACTCTGTGATTTTTTCATTGATATTGATGTCCATTAATGAAGAAAACCAGTTTTAGATAGTATTACTTAATCGTTATTGTAGTATGTCAATTTTTCTTGTTCAAGTCACTTGACCAGTTACATCATTCAAAATATTCTCTTAATCGACTTATAAAATCGCAGTTATTCGAATTCTTAGCACCGATCGATATTTAATGGACGAGAAATGAAACGACACTTGGTTATGTATTTTTTTGTTATCAAGTTATTGAACATCATATTGTTAGCAAAGATGGAATAGTTACCGACACCGGAACAGTATCTTATATTATGAATAATGTTTACACAATGTGACTTCATAATTAACTATTGTATTAGTGAGAACAAATAAAATTTAAGAAAACAGTCAGATAAGTCTATGTCTAGTCACCATAAGCAGCGGAGATCCAAAGAAACTTTAAACAGAAAGCTCTCAATACTATACTAAAGGATTTTTGAATTATTAAAATGATACGACATTAGTTATCAACGATAGCAAATTAAGCTAGTGGATTTTGCATTACACTTTTATATACAGTCTATATGAATCCACGAATCATAACGATTTCATGCTTCGTTGTGAATTCACTGGCACGATTTATCAGCACTCAATCATCACACTTATTCAACCCAGTTTTAAACTTAAAACAAAGTTGTTCTAGTTTGTGGAAATCTCTTTCAAGAATAAATAATTTAGATGATGGCATCATTTACCGTTTGCAATAAACTAATCTCTTCAGAACTCATGCCTGTTGCGCACGTGAGAAGCTATCTTGACTCAGTAGCTAAGTGGATTACGCGTTGTCGTTTGAAGTGACATATATTGGGTTCAAGTCTGTGGGTAAACATCAATTTTAGAATGCAGATACATTCATCTGACCAGTCCCAAACAGGATGAAACGTTCATTCTGATTTTAACGGCTATTCCGTAAAAACATTGCTTATTTTTTTATAAAATCACTTATTGTTTAGCCTTCACTAGAAAGTATGATCATTATCATGTTAATAATATTCACTTTTGATGATAGTTTTCATCATGGAATAACGTTATTTGAAGATCCAAGAAAGCTAAACGGTACTCGGTTTCTGTTTTACTCTCGTTTGATTCTCCTCAACAGTCCATAATCCTGCCTCTGCCAAGCCCCTAAAACCATGATCCTCTGATTTTACTTCAATCATAATACACTTAAACTAAAGAGTTGTATCCCACTTAACTCGATCATTTTAACGTCAGTAATGTCACAGTCCATATCGCAACAACCAAATAATCGTGTCATTCAATGATTACCACAAATACTAAATACAGTTAATCTCTTTTCAGTCTTCCTTTTTATACATGAAAGTGTTTTAAATAAATCATCCTCAATATTCCCTTTATTGTTATTCAGAGTAATAGAACGATATTTTTTTAGTGCATGTAATATGAATTGAGTTTTGAATTTAGTGTTGTGTGCAGATAACAGAAATTTATATTGACCATACTAACTGAATGCATGGATCACACCACAAATATATGTAGCCTGGTTTTGTTTGTTTTGCCAATAGTGCATATTTATCTCATAATTTCTTTTCTCCTTTTTTTTCTTTTCTTTCCGTTAGACTATTCATAAAGAAAATGAAACAACTGAATCATCTAGTAGAAATATTTCAGAAATACTAATGAAAAAATCATACGACAATGACACCACAGTACGTGTAAACGATGAACATTCACCTCTAATTTTTTCTTTATGATATGTATGTTACTTAAAATAGTATTTAAGTAGTTTCAAGAACTTAATCAAATAAACCGTTTTTAATCTTCGAGCAAAATGACCATTGTCAATCTACCACATTAAATAAATGAAAAACCTCAAAATAACAGATTATATTTATTTGGTTATAATAATTCCATTGGTTTTGCAACTCAATTTTTAGGAAATAATTTTGGATTTTATTTACAATTAGGGCACTTTCTATTAATTTATATCCTGTCCCGTGTTAGATTGTGTGCTATAAAATTTTCCCCAGTGAATATTGATTGTCATTTGTTATTAGCAGTCATTCGTTGTACGAAAAATGTGATGTGATCTCGAGGTTTACTGGTCGAAAATTACAGTATGTCTTATTGATTATAAATCGTTAGTTAATTATGGCACTTGTTGACAACATGGTATCAAGGTATGATATTGTTCAGTTGAATGAATCATACATCTCTTGACTTATTATTGATAACGACTGTTCTTCATCACATCATCAAACACTCAACACTGATATATCTCTATATATGTACCATAAGGATTTATGGTAAGTGGCTGTACAAATTTGTTACACTCATTTAACCGTAGTGTTTTGACTTTGACTAGGAAAAAATGTAAAAATTTAATAGAAAGGTGTATAAAACTTGTTTGTGAAACATTACACTAAAGTAAACTTCATTTTCATGATGAATGTGTAGGTTTGTATGAGTGATGAAATCAATAGTATATATTTTAACTTTAATAGAAAATGAAAATCTAGTTATTTTAATACTATTTTAAGTAGGAGTTCGGGGTGGCTGCGAAGAATAACAACGGAAACTATGAAGCCAAAATATTGAAACCATTTATGTGGATCGAAATAAAGCTTTTGCGCTGTTATCTCGATATATTTAGATACTTTAGAAGTAATCTATACAATCATAGTTATAATCACTATAACACAACATGGACAACTATTTCAAATATAGAGAGTTTTAATCAATCCTACGATTAGACTTACTTACTTACTCCTGTTACTCCTTGTGGAGAAACATAGGCCACCCATCAGCACTCTCCATCCAACCCTGTCCTGGGCAATCCTTTCCAGTTCTTTCCAGTTGTTATTCATCCTTTTCATATCTGCTTCTATTTCCCGACGTAATGTGTTCTTTGGCCTTCCTCTTTTCCCCTTCCCTTCACGATTCCAAGTTAGGGTTTGCCTCGTGATTCAGCTTGGTGATTTGAGTAATGTATATCCTATCCATTTCCATCATCTTTTCTTAATTTCCTCTTCATTTGGAAGCTGGTTTGTTCTCTCCCACAATAGACTGTTGCTGATGGTATCCAGTCAACGAACACTGAGTATCTTGTGTAGACAATTGTTTATAAATACTTGAGCATTTTTGATGATGGTTGTGGTGGTTCTGCAAGTTTCAGCTCCGTACAGTAGAACTGTCTTAACGTTTGTATTGAAGACTGTGAGTTTGATGTTGGTTGACAGTCGATTCGAGTTCCATATGTCCTTCAATTGTAAGAATGCGGCCCTTGCTTTGTCAATACTCACCTTTACGTCTGCATCGGATCCTCCTTGTTCATCGATGATGCTTCCCAGATACATGAAAGATTCAACATCTTAGAGAGTTTCGCCATCAAGTGCTATTGAGCTGGTGTTTTCAGTGTTGTATTTAAGGATCTTTCCTTTTCCCTTGTGTATGTTGAGACCTACTACTGAAGAGGTAGAGGCTTATGCTATACTGTTTGTCTTAACATGCATTTGTTGATGTGTATGGGATAGAAGGACCAGGTCATCCGTGAAGTCTAAATCATCTAGTTGCATCCAACCTGTCCATTTTATTCCGTGCTTTCCCTCAGATGTCAAAGTCTTCATAATCCAGTCAACCACTGGAAGAGAGAGAGAGGGGAGAATAGACAACCTTTTCTGACTCCGGTCCTTAGTTGGAATGCATCTGTCAGCTGTCCTCCATGCACCACTTTGCATTGTAGTCCGTCGTATGAATTCCGGATAGTGTTGCCGATGTTCCCAGGTACACCATAGTGTCGAAGAAGTTTACATAATGTTCTCTTATCTACACAGTCAAACGCCTTCTCATAATCAATGAAGTTAATGTGTAGTGACTAGTTCCACTCAACTGATTGTTCAGCAATGATCCGTAGTGTCTCAATTTGATCTGTGCACGACCAATACTCACGGAATACAGCCTGTTGATCTCGAAGTTGGGCGTCTACTGCGTCTTTCAACCGGTTCAGTGACACTGTTAAAAATCTTTCCTGGTACTGACAGTAGTGTGATGCCTCTGTAGCTCAGTTCTCACATTTGCTCAGATCTCTTTCCTTTGGTAACTTGATGAGGTGTCCTCCCTTCCAGTCCGTTGACACTCGTCCCTCCTCCCAAATCTTCTTGAATAGAAGGTGAAGTATCTTGGCAGTTACTTCAGTGTCTGACTTCAATGCTTCAGTTGCTGTATCGTCAGGTCCTGCTGCTTTCCCACTCTTCAGTTGTTTGATGACCATCCTGATTTTTTCGGTCGATGATGGAATGACATCTACTGGAAGGTCTTCGTGTGCTGCTTCGATGTTGGGTGGGTTCAATGGAGCTGGTTTATTCAAGAGTTCTTCAAAATACTTTACCCCTCTTCTCCTCTGTTCTTGAATTTCAGTGATTGCCCTGCATTCTTTGTCCTTGACCCGTCCTACGATTAGAACAAGCAATTAATCATTACTTTTTAATTTCTTAATAGACTTTTCTAAATATCATAACTTTAGCTAAGTATTTCGAGGGATTTGGCAGAGTTTTAAAACTACATTTTATGTTATTCTATATAGCATAATCTGAACTTCAGTTCATAGATTAAAAACATTGTTGATGATGATGACGTAATATGAGTTAATTACTTCTATTTCTTTTGATCGAGGTTAATTTCTGATAAATCTGTATCAACTGCCACAGTTTAACTGTTTACCCTTTTTAAATACTTCATATATTTTATTTTTCAGTCAAATATTTCTTCTGATATTGATACCAAAAATTACAATACTGTTAATATTCCTTCATCGAAACGACAAATTATCAAAATATCAGAAGTTACATCGTTACATGAAGAAATTAATATGATTAAACACATTTCAGAAGATAATATATCACAATCTAATTATAATCAATCTAGGCGAAGAATATCACTACAGTCACCTGGACCGACAATTTTTATTGATCGACGACATAGTAAAGGAAATCGTAGAAGCAGTACATCTTCAAATATTACTGAACTTTAATAAATAATCAATAGATTGTGTATTACATAACATTAATAAGCATCTATAATATTGATTTTTTATAATCATAATCATATGTATTATTATGTATGAAAATGTTTTTTTCTATCTTTAACACGATATACTACTGAATTACTTTCAATGTGATCAACTTAGATCCAATTTGTTTTATAAGATGCTTTTTATTATTATTATTATTATTATTATTATTATTATTATTTTGACTGAATCGATATTTCGTGTTTGTTTATTCATTTGTTTGTTTTTCCTAATTATCTATCCTTTCAGTTCATCAATATTTTCTTTATGAGTTCTAGTACTAAGGTTAATGTATAAAAAAAACATACTATAAATGTTAAAAGGAAAGATTGTTGAATAATTCGATGAATAATTGTTTTCTTAGAGCAAAGGGGGAAAGGCTTTAAAAGACTTAGATTCCTAACGATTATGAAATTTCGTATATTCAGGTAATATTGAAGCACTTGTTCATAGTACACGTGTACCAATAGAGATTGATTAAAATCTAGGGAGAAATCTCGATAATAAGAAAACATAGACTTATCAAATTATAATTTTCACATCCAATGAACTAAATAGTGATCATTATAAACTCTCTGAGTGGATATTACATCAGGATCTGAAGTGATAAGTGCTGAGGTCTAGGTTAATTTAGTAGATGAGTCTCAAATAAAACAACATGGGCGTCCTGGATTTCATTGTCTTAACACATCCTACAAGATAACCACTTAAATCTTAAAATATTTTAAATGACAACAAGGACTTTTCAATCAAACTATCAAGTTCGTATAAAGGGATTCTATCGAAAGTATGTGCCCTTAAGAAGTTTTAAAATAACAGAAATATAAATTCTCATTTATTTTAAGCGATTAAATTGAGCAAAAATGCGTAGTGGCTAGCAGTGGAATCCAGGACGCGCGTTTCGTCCTATTTGGGACTCGACAGCCGGATGCACCTGCATCTCAGAGTTGATGCTCACTCTGGGACTCGAATGCAGTACCGTTTGCTTCAAACGCTATCGCGTTATCCGCCTCACTACTGAATACTGATAGCCACTAGCTTGTGCAATGATGTGAAATTTAAATTCACTTGGTATTGTTTACTTAAATCTTCCCACTGATCTTTACGACGGATTATAATTAAGTCCATTTTGCGAAATTTTTGTTAAATTAAAGAACATCAATATGGAACAACAGTATTTTGACGAAATCGGATGCGGATCTCCTTACAACATTAAGTGATTAAAATTAAAACTGTAAACTTATAGTATTCATTATAAGTACCACATAATTGGGAATTTAAGAGATCGATTCTGGAATAGATCAATAGTAAACAACTAAACAATGATGTTTGCTGTCATTAATTATTCATGTAATGCAGTTCCGTGATAAATTTAATCCTTAAATAATACATAACATTCATAAAAAACCATTCTGTATTGTCATTAACTTAGAAATCTTTGAATAAACCGAGAACAAACGTATTCTTGTAAATTTCGAATCCATTTTTTGTATGTATATATGTGTCAATATTCAGTGATCAAATGTTAAATCTAATACAGAAAATATACAACAATATAGCGTTCACAATGATCTTAATTATGATGACTTAATTTCATTCGTAACCAACTGTAAGTTAAACTAATTTAACTGATCTACCAAAATTAGTATGATGAATGATTTTCTGATTACGATAATGTACTACTTATTGATAGTTAAACGTTCTATTAGAAATGCTTTACTAGTTTTATTCCTATCTAGCTATTTAATTCAAACTATCGTTACTAAATTATCTGAATTTCCCCCTCCACCACCTTACAATATAGACTTGAAAACTAAATAACATTTCAAAGTTTTGTTAGAATTTAAAAGACCCCGTTAATACAAACGTCCTTAGATTCAGCATCCACAAATTTTCAGACGATCCTATCATCATTTAGTCAGAGAGTTAGAATCCGACACTTAATAGTGTAACCATTTCTGCTTGATTTAAACCTTTTCCAGCTTATAGAAATCTTTATAAATCATCCAAGATCAACATTCATCTAACATAATCTATAATTGCATTTAGAAATCTTCATGTACTAGGGATAGCAAGTATATATGAAGGCTGCAAAAACGTCTTAAAAATCTTTCGAATATATTACTTTAAACTTATTTCTGAAAGGAAGCAAAGTTTAGGCAAGCACAGTTTTCATGTATCCAGAGGTATTTGACACAATGTGAGTACCTCTAAAATGTTTAAAATAGTCAACAAAGAACAAACATTTACTTTACTCAGCATTGTTGTTGCTATCATAATCAAATGCTTTGGACCTAGTCTATATGCACAGAAGAAAAATGTGATAAGCCTATCATTTAAATGATTAATAGATTTGTAATCAAATAACTTTATCCGTTGAATGATCTTTCTGATAACCACCCATTAATTTAATTTTTATTTATATCAATTTATTATTTAATCGCCTATTAATTCTGTGGTGTGTACTACTGAAGTTGACAGATATAAGTAGTATGTATCATCAATCAAAAGTGAAATGCCTGGCAGCACGAGGTTAAGAAGATCGAAGAAAAGAGAATGAGAACAAAGAATGATTGCTGTTAAAACAAAGGAACAATGAAGTCCGAGACGAGTGTTTGACATTTTACAAATGAAGTATTTACTGTATTATTCTCAGATTTTATTGAGATGCTCTGTAATGTTGTGTCAAATACTTTCGATCATCCCCACTTGTGTTCTTGTTCACTACAATGGTAATCATTAGTAATAATGCTACTAGTTAAAATATGCTCATTACATTCTTATATCAATCAATCAATCTATAATTAATGACAGATTACATAGAGAAAAGCGTAAATGGGTTACATCTTACTTAGAATAAATGTATGCTATAAATTAATTGAATAACAATAACAATAATAACAATAATAATTTTGTCTAAAAGTTTTTCAAGTCCATAGAACAAATTATTCACACACTTTTTTTCACCGTAATAATAAAACAATTGAATGAAGAAGAAAAAGAAGAAGAAACATAAGCACACACACACACACACAAAATGAGTAAATGGGTTCAATAATAATTAAGTCAAGACACTTCATAAGTCCAATGTTAATTGTCGAAATGAATCTATCCGATAAATTAATTATTTATGAATAAGTACTTAATGACAAAAGTTAATGATTAAAGTTTATTTTGTAACTAGTCGACATAATTTTCTAATCTCTCTCTCTCTCTCTCTCTCTCTATATATATATATATATATATATACATATATATATAAATCAATACTTTGCCTACTTGGCAACTGATATTGGAAAGGAAATCTCCTTATTTCGTCAAACTATTGATCTTCAACTAATTCATATATGCATCATTTAAAGCCACATTGTTCAACGGTATTTTAGTCATTTGACTGGTTTGTAGGCAGATATAAATACTATAAGCATTTTTGCTTATAATGCTTGTAAATTCAGGCAATATCAAGGCAATACTCACAGGATGCACCTATACCAATAGGGAAACTGATCAATTGCAGTCTTAAATATCAATGGAAAGATTCAAGTAAATAATACCAAGTGAATTTAGATATTAATGCTGTTAACTATGATCGTATGACAGATATTGTATGAGATAATAACGTGGGAGATTAGAAGTAATGATAACTAACACAAACTTTGCGTAACCTACAAAACCTAATGCAATTAAAGTGACCTTACCTCATCATACTAAAATTTTTATTCATTTATAACGTTTCTTGATCCAAACAAGAATATGTACGTGTCGATGGTGAGTAACAGCTCACCACCAACTTACATCTCTCACAAGCTATATGGCTTTAAGTGATTTGTTGACCCTGAAAGAGCAATTTGATTTTTGGATTAATCTGTAAGCGAACATATCAACAATAGGGAATACAATAAGTTATTATATGAGGAGTTCCATTTTTGTATTATGACTAGGGAAAATCTGTATGAACGGCTTTTCAGTACGCGATCTCTAACTTATTTGATGGTATGTGCATCCAAATGATCACTGATTAGAAATCTTCATGATTGATGCCCTGTCTAAATAAAGGTTTTTAATTGGTTCTTTTGTAGTGTCTTGGATGCTAATTAGCTAAAAGATCTAAAACGACAAAAAAATCCATTATTCAATTCTTCTTAACATCTAATAATTCTTTATTTAATACCAGTCCGTGACTAAAACCATCTTCAAAAATTCAGATAAATTTTAAATTGAATTCAACTGTTTGATATTAATCAATCGTTGGTAAGCTTACACCTAACTTTTTTGAAAAAAAAAGCCTCTATGCCAATTCGGAAAAGAAGAGAACAATAGAAAATGAACAGATCAATAACTAACCACTTAGTATAAGACTGAATCTTATAATGAAAACAGTTTATCATAGTTAGCAACAAAAAAGACAATCTAATCACTGTTATTCAATACTGACTGACAGGGTACGATTTCCAGTATTTTACATAAATTGTGTAGAAGAAAATACTTTGTTCCAGTTTTTGAGTACACTTGAACATGTGTATGATCCATACCAATCCATACCAATCTTCTAAAATTACCAAAATTCATTCATCTTTGTCAAGGCCTATTTTATTTCGTTATAATTAACCTTTAAATAATTATCGTTTCCTTCTTCTTCTTCTTCTTCTTCTTCTTCTAATTTTGCTGTTATTTTGATTTGTTGTTTAATTGAATATTGAATATAATTAAATGTTATTAATAATGTAATTCTCATAGAAACTTAATTACTAACCCAATCACTCTCTTTTTTGGCATCTTTAATTCTCTTTTTAAAACAGTAGAGAAAGTGGAATTCATTCAATTCGAATGTAATATTGCACACACACACACGCACACGCACACATACATACATCCATACATGTATACCTTTGACAAATGAATAAATATTAATATATAATCACTATGTAAATCTTACACAAATAAATAGATGTACAAAGATT